GTGGACATGGACGTGGACATGGACGTGGACGTGGACGTGGAGGACTTGGACGTGGACATGGACGTGAACGTGGACGTGGACTGTGGACGAAGACGTGGTCGTGGACGTGGACGTGGACGTGGACGTGGACGTGGAGTGGACGTGGACGTGGACGTGGACAGGTGACATGGACGTGGACGTGGACGTGGACGTGGACTGTGGACGTGGACTGGACGTGGACGTGGACGTGACGTGGACCTGGTCGTGGACGTGGACCGTGACGTGGACCTGGTCGTGGACGTGGACGCTTGACGTGGACATGGACGTGGACGTGGACGTGGACGTGGTCGTGGACGTGGACGTGGACGTGGACCTGGACGTGGACGTGGACGTGGCATGGACGTGGACTGTGGACGTGACGTGGACGTGGACGTGGACATGGACATGACGTGGACGTGGACGTAGACATGGACCATGGACGTGACGTGGACGTGGACGTGGACAATGGACGTGGACCTGGACGTGGAGGTGGACGTGGACGTGGACGTGGAGGTGGACATGCACGTGGAGGTGGACGTGGACGTGGACATGGACGTGGACGTGGACGTGGACGTGGACGTGGAACATGGACAAGCGACGTGGACGTGGACGTAGACATGGACATGGACGTGGACATGGACGTGGACCTGGACGTGGACGTGGACGTGGACGTGGACATGGACGTGGACGTGGACATGGACGTGGACATGGACGTGGGTGGACGTGGACATGGACGTGGACATGGACGTGGACATGGACGTGGACATGGACGTGGACGTGGACATGGACGTGGACATGGACGTGGACGTGGACGTGGACATGGACGTGGACGTGGGACGTGGACGTGGATATGGACGTGAACATGGACGTGGACGTGGACATGGACGTGGACGTGGACGTGGACGTGGACGTGGACGTGGACATGGACGTGGACGTGGACGTGGACGTGGACGTGGACGTGGACGTAGACATGGACGTGGACGTGGACGTGGACGTGGAGAACTTGGACGTGGACATGGACGTGGACGTGGACGTGGACGTGGACGTGGAGAACTTGGACGTGGACATGGACGTGAACGTGGACGTGGACGTGGACGGGACGTGGAGGACTTGGACGTGGACATGGACGTGGGCGTGGACGTGGACATGGACGTGGACGGGACATGGACGTGGACGTGGACGAGGACGTGGACATGGACGTCGACGTGGACATGGACGTGGACGTAGACATGGACGTGACGTGGACGTGGACGTGGACGTGGACATGGAGGTGGACGTGGACGTGGACGTGGAGGGGAGGTGGACATGGACGTGGAGGTGGACGTGGACGTGGACGTGGACGTGGACCTGGACGTGGACGTGGACGTGGAGTGGACGTTGACGTGGAGGTGGACGTGGAGGTGGACATGGACGTCGACGTGGACGTGGACGTGGACATGGACGTGGACATGGACGTGGACGTGGACGTGGACGTGGACGTGGACGGGACATGGACGTGGACGTGGACGTGGACGTGTGACGTCGACGTCGACGTGGACGTGGACGTGGACATGGACATGGACGTGGACGTGGACGTGGACATGGACGTGGTCGTGGACGTGGACAGGGACGTGGACGTTGTGAGAATAAGCGAACAGGGAATGAATGAACTAGCAGTGAAAATGAGTACAAATAGTAAACCCTAGAATTGTGTACCCCCTATAGGCTAACCCACTGTAGCCTACACAAGCATAACATATATAATGTTTGACACACCCCTTAGGCAAAGTGGGGGAGAACAAGGGGTTACAAGACCAGTCAAGCAAAGCAAAGCAAGCTCAGGGTGGATCACAAAGTCACCACACAGTCCGAGCACAAGAGCAGGGCCAGAGGCCATTCACATGCAGGAGTACGGACGTATATATAAAACTAGACAAGCAAGAGCAGGTATATATATGTCACAGTACAAGTAAAGTCAAGAGGAGAGCAAGTGAGGCAAGACAGGCACAAGACCCAGCTGGATGCAAAAGCGCTGATGGTCACAAGGCGCGAGTGCCTTGGTGAACACATCAGCAGTGTTGGCCTCAGAGGCCACGTACGCAAGTCGCAACTGACCACGCTGCTGCAGCTCACGAGCAAGGAAGTAGCGGAGAGCAATGTGCTTCGTTCTGTGCTCCAAGCGCTGCTCTCGACACAAGGCCAGCATGGCTTGTTGTCTACGTACAGCACTGGAGGAGAACGAGGCGGCTCTCCGAGGTCAGTCAGCAGGTAGGTGAGCCAGCGAAGCTCCTGTGCAGCCATGGCCCCGGCGTAGATCTCAGCCTCACAACTGGAGCGGAGAACCGAAGACGAACGAGTAGACCGCCAGGAAACAGAGCCGGAACCAAGACTGAAGGTGTAACCCTGTGACGACCGCTGCTTAGCCTGGTCGTCAGCCCAAGAAGCGTCCGCGTGGCCTATAAGGACCACTGGACTCGCCCTCCAAGCACTAGCCCCATGCCCGACGTACTGCACAGGTAGCGCAATACCCTCTTCGCTGCAGCCATGTGCTCTGGTCGGTGTCTCCCACGAGCAACATAGCGTGCAAGAATGCTCAGAGGGTATGCAAGGTCAGGGTGTGCAGGTCATCAGGTACATGAGGCAGCCAACAAGCTCTGGGTACGGGCCACTCGACTCTACGGACTCATCCGAAGGCAGAGCTGAGAGCGAGTGACGAGTAGACAGAGGAGTGGCCTGAGGCGAGGAGTACGTGAAGCCGAAGCGCTGAAGGACCTGCTGCACCATGTGTGACTAAGTCAAGGTAATGGTGCGGCGTGCTCTGTCCGAGTGATCTGCAAGCCAAGGTAGCTGCGCAGTTCACCCAGGTCTGTGCACGTGTGTCTCTTCCAGCAGCTCGGACTTCACGTAGGCTGAGCTCCAGCAGTGTCCGCCTGTGGCAAAGACAAGCCCTCGACGTACACGAGGATGTAGAACGGCGGCAGTGAAGTGTCGTGTGCGCAGAGAACAGCGACGGGTCAGCAGTAGACGGAGCAAACCCAAGAGCCGCAAGCGTAGTCCTCAGTGTGTCGTGCCACTCACGCGGTGCCTGGCGGAGACCGTAGACTGGCCGTCGGAGGCTCCACTGGTGCCAGGAGGGAAAGTCCCAGTGAAGCCAGGCGGGACGGTGCAGCCAGATCTCCTCGTGGCAGGCTACCCTGCAGGAACGCAGTGCTGAAGTCGAGGAGAGTGAAGCTCGTAGTCGCGCTGAGCGCGCTATGTGCAGCAGCACCCGAAGAGTGGTCATCTTCGGGTGGTGAGAGAAGGTCTGAACAGTAGTCCAACTCCCCTGCCGCTGACTGAAGCCACGAGCAAACGTACCGCGCCTTGAAGGACAGGTGTGAGAGCCTGGCGGCCGCTTCACCCTGAAGATCCACATGCCACTGACGATGTTCGCCCCGGAAGGGGGAACTGCGTCAAACGTAGGTGCCTGTGGACTTCCAGGAAGCCGTCTCTGCATCCATAGCTGCCTGCCCACTGAGAGGAGTAGGGAGACCCTTCTACGGCCTCCGCGTAAGAGCAACGGAGTTGGGATGTCTAGTGCATCCGGGTCTCCCTCAGGAGCAAGCAGTACAGACGCGAGATGAGGTGAAGCGGCCGCTAGACACTGTAACTCCTCCTGCCTTGTCCCTCTAGGACATCCGTGCCAAGAGCACACTCACCCCCGACGGACGGAGGACAGACAGACGCAGACTCAGTAATAAGACTAGCAGCGTAGTCTAGACGACAGCGAGCAGCAAAGTCGACGAGCTCAGCGACAAGAGCAGACGCAGCAGTGGACTCAAAAGAGGGGTCAGTGACGACAGTAGCAAGCAGACGCGTGACAGTGGGACTGGCAGCACGAAGGGAGTCCGACTCAGGGTCGGCAGGCGCAGGAAGAGAGGACTCAGGAGGAGAAGGCAAAGGGGCAACGCAGGAGGAGCAGTGGACGGACGCAGAGGACATCCAGTGCATGCCAGGGACAGGGAGGAGGACGCTGACTGCGAACTGCGACCACTAGCACGAGCAGCACGAACAGGCGACGTGGGACGGGACGCAGGCTCACGACGCTCAGCAAGACCTCCAGTAGGACCAGTGTAAGGAGAGGGAGCAGGCAGTGGAGAGGACGCGCTCCAACAGGGACTGCGACTGGACCGGCTGTGGACCCTCTACTGAAGGAGAAAGACCAAGAACCTGCTGCAGGAGCGGAACGAAGTACGGCCGAGGCCGCGCGGCAGCTCCAGACTCAGCAGGGGAACAGCACCAGCACCCTCAGCGTCAGCACCAGCGCCCACCCACACCTCCAGCTCCAACACCCTCAGCAACTCCAGCTCCCAGGAGGACCCGCAGGTCCAGCAGCTCCGGGACCTGGCAGCACCCGCACCTCGACGGTCGAAGAAGCTCCAACTCCAGCTCCAGCAGCACCCCCAGACTCAGCAGCACGCCTCCAGCGGCGACTGCGAACCACCTCGCGCAGCTCCTGTGGAGAGAGGGGCTCCCGGCGAGACGCAGCAGCAGGAGAAACCCCAGGCTCAGCAGCTCCAGACGCAGCACCCCAGGCTCAGCAGCTCCCAGCTCAGCACCCCCCAGGCTCAGCTTCACTCGACCCCAGCACCCCCAGACCCAGCACCTCCAGGCACAGCACCCCCCGGCTCAGCACCCCCATGCTCCGCACCCTCCACAGTAGCGCCCACAGGCCCAGCACCCCCAGGCGCAGCACCTCCAGGCCCAGCACCCTCGCGCACAGCACCCCGAGAGTCAGCACCCCCAGGCCTCAGCACCCGCAGCAGCACCAGATGTCACCAGTAACCTCGACCGGGTCAACTGCGTCTACCTGGGACACACCTGAAAGGGCAGGAACCTGACGGGGGGAGGGGGTCTACCGGGGAAGGAACCAGGACAAGGAAGTCCGGTGGAGGGGGGAGGAAGGAGTGCGGTAGGGAAGAGGCTGGTTTAGAAGGGGACTGACTCGATCGAACGTGACGTCCTAGGAGGACAAAACACGACGAGAGGAGGGGGGTAAAACTGCCACCCTGGAGCGTCAGTGGGGAAGCCAAGGAAGACACAGGGAGCAGCACGAGGGGACAGCTTGTCCGCTGACAAGTCGCGGACAAACGCCCGAGATCCCCAGACACGGAACGCCAACGCATCGCCAACCTTCCACGTCCACCAGTAAGACTGGGACATCGCGGGCCGAGAGACCTGGGGGTGAAGGTTGAGCTGATGCGCCGCGTACCTCACCGCAAACGGCCACAGAAAATGGGGGGCAGCCGCATGCATCATGGACGTACGAGCGACATCCATGACCATGCCAATGCGGCGCTCAGCAATCCCATTTTGCTGTGGAGAGTCCGGAAGCGTGATAGGTCTGGGCGGATCCCCCTGTGCACGACAGTAGTCTCGCAGAAGGCGAGAGGAGAACTCTCCGCCTCTGTCCGAGTGCAGACGTAGAACAGGGAAGTCCGAGCCAAAGCTCTGCCTGAGCTGGAGACGAAGCCGTGCTGATCCAGTCGATCAGCACCTCAGTGACAGCACCCTTGCTGCGCAAGGGAGGACTGTGGTGTACCGCGAAGTAATCGTCAACCACCAACAGGAAGTAGCGCTCGTAACCCTGCCCACGGACGGGGGCTGGGCCCCACACATCCATGTGAAGCGTCTGCAGAGGAGCCTCTGTCGGGGGAACTGGGAGGAGTGAGGAGTAGCCCGGAGGCGACCCTCGACACAGGGGACACAGGAAGGGTCCTGGCCCGGAGGGAAGGGGAGGAAGAGACCGGGGCAGACCAGAGACAAGGACACGGGAAGCCATGCTCCGAAGACGGGGCAAGGACGGGTGGCCAAGACGGTGGTGCCACAGGAGAGTCTCATAAGACAGGAGGCGACAAGAACAGGGGGCAGACTCAGGGACTTGACCGGGACGCAGCAGCAAGCACCTGACCTGACGCAGCTACCTGACCAGACGCAGGGACAGGAGGAGACGCATTAGTGGTCAGGGTTGTAGAGGCTCGACCCCGGCCGACGTGAGAACGTGGCCAGGTGCCGGCATGTGCGTGCGTACGTGCAGTGGGTCACCGCTGACTCGCAGGAGTGAACTGGTGAACCCCCCGCATCCTGCAGGTCCGCACCACTCACCAAGTTCGTAGAGAACGAGGGAAGGTACAGTCCTGACAGGGTGCCCGAAGGGGCAGCCGGGACACGGGAGGACAGTGAGAAGTGAGAGAGGACAGGACCCCCAGAGGGGTCAACCAGGGAGACGGCAACCGCGCCGACCAAGCGGCTGTGAGAGTGTGCGGTCTCGAAAGAAGGAGCGAGAAGCCCAGGAGTCAAGTGTGAAAGTGAGGGAGGACGAGGACGAGAGCCGGCGGCAGGGGCCGTAAGAGAGCCGGCGGCGGGGCCTTGTGCGGGCCGGCGGCGGGGGCCGCGTGAGAGCCGGGACGGCGGCGCAAGAGCGCCGGGGCGGGGCCGCGTCAGAGCCGGCGGTGTGGGGCATGGTGAGAGCCGGTGCGGGGGCCGCGAGAGAGACGGGGCGGGGCCGCTAGAGAGCCGGTGCGGGGCCGCGTCAGGGCCGGCGGCGAGGCCGCGAGAGAGCCGGGGCGGGGCCGCGATCAGGAGGCGGCGGCGGGGCCGCGTCAGAGCCGGCGGCGGGCCGCGATCAGCGGGCGGCGTGTCCGCGTCAGAGCCGGCGGCGGGGCCGCTTCAGTGGAGGCGGCGGTGGCCGCGTCAGAGGAGGCGGCGGGGCCGCGTCAAGCAGGCGGCGGTGGCCGCGATCAGGAGGGGTGGCGGGCCCGCGTCTGAGGGACAGCGGGGCGCGAGAGCAATGGCGACCCGAAGGGTTGCGGAAAAAAAAAATGCGCGCCTCGGGGCGCGCTTCGGTGGGCCCTAAAAACAATGGTTCTTAGGAAGGACCCGCTCTATACCATGTGAGAATAAGCGAACAGGGAATGAATGAACTAGCAGTGAAATGAGTACAAATAGTAAACCCTAGAATTGTGTACCCCCTATAGGCTAACCCACTGTAGCCTACACAAGCATAACATATATAATGTTTGACAGACGTGGACGTGGACATGGACGTGGACGTGGACATGGTCGTGGACATGGACGTGGACGTGGACGTGGACGTGGCGATGGACATGGACGTGGACGTGAACGTGGACGTGGACGTGGACAAGGACGTGGACATGGACGTGGACGTGGACGTGGACGTGGACATGGACGTGGAGGTGGACGTGACGTGGACGTGGACGTGGACGTGGACGTGACGTGGACCTGACGTGGACGTGGACGTGGACCTGACGTGGACGTGGACGTGGACGTGGACGTGGACATGGACGTGGACGTGGACGTGACGTGGACGTGGACGTGGACGTGGACGTGGACGTGGACATGGACGTGGACGTGGAATGGACATGGACGTGGACGGGGACGTGGACGTGGACGTGGACGTGGACGAGGACGCGGACGCGGACGCGGGACGCGGACGCGGACGTGGACGCGGACGTGGACGCGGACGTGGACGCGGACATGGACGTGGACGTGGACATGGACGTGGATGTGGACGTAAGGGTTTGAAAGGTAACTAACGCACATGTGTAGAGAAAATGGGTGCATCGGCCAGTCTGGCCGGCATTTCGCACTTATAGTGCAAGTAGAGCCAAGAAGAACGGAAACGCTCATTTCTCAAAAAGTAAAGGGAATCTAGCGGTCTCACTCGATCAGAAGGTGGGAAATATATAAATCTAGTGAGCTAATAAGGTTTGGAAGGAATCTAATGCATATGTATATGGAAAGTGGTGCATTGGCCAGGTCGGTCAGTATGGGAACTTAGAGTGCAAATGCCAGGGAGAACGGAAGCGCTCAGATCTCGCATAGTACACGGAATCTAGTGGTCTCACTCAAATAGAAGGTAGGAAATAAATTCATCTAGTGAACGTAATGGTTTGAAAGGTAACTAACGCACATGTGTAGAGAAAATGGTGCATCGGCCAGTTTGGCCGGCATTTCGCACTCATAGTGCAAGTAGGGCCAAGGAGAACAGAAACGCTCATTTCTCAAAAAGTAAAGGGAATCTAGCGGTCTCACTCGATCAGAAGTGGGAAATATATAGATCTAGTGAGCTAATAAGGTTCGAAAGGAATCTAATGCATATGTATATGGAAAGTGGTGCATTGGCCAGGCCGGTCAGTATGGGAACTTAGAGTGCAAATGCCAGGGAGAACGGAAGCGCTCAGATCTGGCATAGTACACGGAATCTAGTGGTCTCACTCAAATAGAAGGTAGGAAATAAATTCATCTAGTGAACGTAAGGGTTTGAAATGTAACTAACGCACATGTGTAGAGAAAATGGTGCATCGGCCAGTCTGGCCAGCATTTCGCACTTATAGTGCAGGTGGGGCCAGGGAGAACGAAAATGCTCGTTTCTCAAAAAGTAGAGGGAATCTAACGGACTCACTCAATCAGAAGGTGGGAAATATATAAATCTAGTCAGCTCAAAAGGTTTGAAATGTATTCAACGCACAGGTATAAAGTGTGAGAATAAGCGAACAGGAATGGATCAACTAGAAGTGAAAAGAGTACAAGTAGTAAACCCTAGAATTGTGTACCCCCTATGGGCTAACCCACTGTAGCCTACACAAGTATAACATATATAATGTTTGACACACCCCCATAGGCAAAGTGGGGGAGAACAAGGGGTCAGAAGACCAGTCAAGCAAAGCAAAGCAAGCTCAGGGTGGATCACAAAGTCACCACACAGTCCGAGCACAAGAGCAGGGCCAGAGGCCAGTTCACATGCAGGAGTACAGACATATATATAAAACTAGACAAGCAAGAGCAGGTATATATATATGTCACAGTACAAGTAAAGTCAAGAGGAGAGCAAGTGAGGCAAGACAGACACAAGACCCAGCTGGGTGCAAAAGCGCTGATGATCACAAGGCGCGAGTGCCTTGGTGAACACATCAGCAGTGTTGGCCTCAGAGGCCACGTACGCAAGTCGCAACTGACCACGCTGTTGCAGCTCACGAGCAAGGAAGTAGCGGAGAGCAATGTGCTTCGTTCTGTGCTCCAAGCGCTGCTCTCGACACAAGGCCAGCATGGCCTTGTTGTCTACGTACAGCACTGGAGGAGAACGAGGCGGCTCTCCAAGGTCAGTCAGCAGGTAGGTGAGCCAGCGAAGCTCCTGTGCAGCCATGGCCCCGGCGTAGATCTCAGCCTCACAACTGGAGCCGAGAACCGAAGACGAGCGAGTAGACCGCCACGAGACAGAGCCGGAACCAAGGCTGAAGGTGTAACCCTGTGACGACCGCTGCGTAGTCTGGTCGTCAGCCCAAGAAGCGTCCGCGTGGCCGGTAAGGACCACTGGACTCCGCCCTCCAAGCACAAGCCCCATGCCCGACGTACTGCACAGGTAGCGCAATACCCTCTTCGCTGCAGCCATGTGCTCTGGTCTGTGTCTCCCAGGAGCAACATAGCGTGCAAGAATGCTCAGAGGATATGCAAGGTCAGGTCGTGTGCAGGTCATCAGGTACATGAGGCAGCCAACAAGCTCTGCATACGGACCACTCGACTCTACGGACTCATCCGAAGGCAGAGCTGAGAGTGAGTGGCGAGTAGGCAGAGGAGTGGCCTGAGGCGAGGAGTACGTGAAGCCGAAGCGCTGAAGGACCTGCTGCACCATGTGTGACTGAGTCAAAGTAATGGTGCGGCGTGCTCTGTCCCGAGTGATCTGCAAGCCAAGGTAGCTGCGCAGTTCACCCAGGTCTGTGCACGTGTGTCTCTTCAGCAGTTCGGACTTCACGTAGGCGAGTCCAGCAGTGTCCGCTGTGGCAAAAACCAAGTCGTCGACGTACACGAGGATGTAGAACGGCGGCAGTGAAGTGTCGGTGCGCAGAAACAGCGACGGGTCAGCAGTAGAAGGAGCAAACCCAAGAGCCGCAAGCGTAGTCCTCAGTGTGTCGTGCCACTCACGCGGTGCCTGGCGGAGACCGTAGACTGGCCGTCGGAGGCTCCACTGGGTGCCAGGAGGGAAAGTCCCAGTGAAGCCAGGTGGACGGCGCAGCCAGATCTCCTCGTGCAGGCTACCCTGCAGGAACGCAGTGCTGAAGTCGAGAGAGTGAAGCTCGTAGTCGCGCTGAGCGGCTATGTGCAGCAGCACCCGAAGAGTGGTCATCTTCGGGGTGGGAGAGAAGGTCTGAAAGTAGTCAACTCCCTGCCGCTGACTGAAGCCACGAGCAACGTACCGCGCCTTGAAGACAGGTGGAGAGCCCGGCAGCCGCTTCACCCGGAAGATCCACATGCCACTGACTATGTTCGCCCCAGGAGGGGGAACTGCGTCAACGTAGGTGCCTGTGGACTTCCAGGAAGCCATCTCTGCATCCATAGCTGCCTGCCACTGAGAGGAGTAGGGACCCTCTACAGCCTCCGCGTAAGAACGCGGAGTCGGGATGTCTAGTGCATCCGGGTCTCCCTCAGGGGCAAGCAGTACAGACGCGAGATGAGGTGAAGCAGCCGCTAGACACTGTAACTCCTCCTGTCTGTCCTCTAGGACGTCCGTGCCAAGAGCACACTCACCCCCGACGGACGGAGGACAGACAGACGCAGACTCAGCAACAAGACCAGCAGCGTAGTCGAGACGACAGCGAGCAGCAAAGTCAACGAGCTCAGCGACTAGAGCAGACGCAGCAGTGGACTCAAAAGAGGGGTCAGTGACGACAGTAGCAAGCAGACGCGTGACAGTAGGACTGGCAGCGCGAAGAGAGTCCGACTCAGGGTCGGCAAGCGCAGGAAGAGAGGACTCAGGAGGAGAAGGCAAAGGGGCACGCAGAGGAGCAGTGGACGGACGCAGAGACATCCGGTGCGTGCCAGGGACAGGAGGAGGACGCTGACGCGAACCGCGACCACTAGCGCGAGCAGCACGAACAGGCGACGCGGGACGAGACGCAGGCTCACGGCGCTCAGCAAGACCTCTAGTAGGACCAGTGTAAGGAGAGGGAGCAGGCAGAGGAGAGGAGGACTCCAACAGTGACTGCGACTGGACAGGCTGTGGACACTCTACCGAAGGAGAAAGACCAAGAACCTGCTGTAGGAGCGGAACGAAGTACGGCCGAGGCCGCGCGGCAGCTCCAGACACAGCAGGGACAGCACCAGCACCCTGAGCGACAGCACCAGCGCCACCCACACCTCCAGCGGCAGGGCCAACAGCAGTAGGCTCAGCACGAACGCCCTCAGCACCTCCAGCTCCAGGAGGACCCGCAGGTCCAGCAGCTCCGGGACCGGCAGCATCCGCACCCTCGACGGTCGAAGAAGCTCCAGCTCCAGCTCCAGCAGCACCTCCAGACTCAGCAGCACGCCTCCAGCGGCGAGCATACCACTCGCGCAGCTCCTGTGGAGAGAGGGGCTCCCGGCGAGACGCAGCAGCAGGAGAAACCCCAGGCTCAGCAGCTCCAGACGCAGCAGGGACAGCACCAGCACCCTCAGCTACAGCACCAGCGCCACTCACACCTCCAGCGGCAGGACCAACAGCAGTAGGCTCAGCACGAACGCCCTCAGCAGCTCCAGCTCCAGGAGGACCCGCAGGTCCAGTAGCTCCGGGACCGGCAGCACCAGCACCCTCGACGGTCGAAGAAGCTCTGATACCATGTGAGAATAAGCGAACAGGAATGGATCAACTAGAAGTGAAAAGAGTACAAGTAGTAAACCCTAGAATTGTGTACCCCCTATGGGCTAACCCACTGTAGCCTACACAAGTATAACATATATAATGTTTGACATAAAGAAAATGGTGCATTGGCCAGGTCGGTCAGTATCGCAACTTAAAATGCAAATGCCAGGGAGAACGGAAGCGCTCAGATCTCGCATAGTACACGGAATCAAGTGGTCTCACTCAAATAGAAAGTAGAAAATATATTCATCTAGTGAACGTAAGGGTTTGAAAGGTAACTAACGCACATGTGTAGAGAAAATTGTGCATCGGCCAGTCTGGCCGGCATTTCGCACTTATAGTGCAACTAGGGCCAAGGAGAACGGAAACGCTCATTTCTCAATAAGTAGAGGGAATCTAGCGGTCTCACTCGATCAGAAGGTGGGAAATATATAAATCTAGTGAGATAATAAGGTTCGAAAGGAATCTAATGCATATGTATATGGAAAATGGTGCATTGGCCAGGTCGGTCAGTATGGGAACTTAGAGTGCAAATGACATGGACGTGGTCGTGGACGTGGACGTGGACATGGATATGGACATGGACGTGGACATGGACGTGGACGTGGACATGGACGTTGACGTGGACATGGACGTGGACATGGACGTGGACGTGGACATGGACGTGGACGTGGACGTGGACGTGGACATGGACGTAGACGTGGACGTGGACGTGGACGTGGACGTGGACGTGGTCGTGGACGTGGACGTGGACGTGGACGTGGACGTGGACGTGGACGTGGAATTGGACGAGGACGTGCACGTGGACGAAGACATGGTCGTGGACGTGGACGTGGACGTAGACATGGACGTAGACGTGGACGTGGACGTGGACATGGACGTGGACCTGGTCGTGGACGTGGACGTGGAGGAACATGGACGTGGACGTGGACATGGACATGGACGTGGACGTGGACGTGGACGTGGACGTGGACGTTGACGTGGACGCGGACCTGGTCGTGGACGCGGACATGGATGTGGACGTGGACATGGACGTGGACGTGGACATGGACGTGGACGTGGACATGGACGTGGACGCGGACGTGGACGTGGACGTGGACATGGACGTAGACATGGTCGTGGACGTGGACATGGACATGGACGTGGACGTGGTCGTGGACGTAGACGTGGACGTGTACGTGGACGCGGACGTGGACGTGGACAAGGACGTGGACGTGGACGTGGACGTGGACGTGGAGGACTTGGACGTGGACGTGGACGTGGACGTGGACGACTTGGACGTGGACATGGACGTGGACATAGACGTGGACATAGACGTGGACGTGGACGTAGACATGGACGTAGACGTGGACGTGGACGTAGACGTGGACATGGACGTGGACGTGGACGTGGACGTGGACGTAGACATGGACGTGGACGTGGTCGTGGACGTGGACGTGGACGTGGACGTGGACATGAAGGTGGACATGGACGTGGACATGGACGTGGACGTGGACGTGGACGTGGACATGTACGTGGACGTGGACGTGGACGTGGACCTGGTCCTGGACGTGGACATGGACGTGGACGTGGACATGGACGTGGACGTGGACGTGGACGTGGACGTGGACATGGACATGGACGTGGACGTGACGTGGACGTGTGTCAAACATTATATATGTTATGCTTGTGTAGGCTACAGTGGGTTAGCCTATAGGGGGTACACAATTCTAGGGTTTACTACTTGTACTCATTTCCCTTCTAGTTCATCCATTCCTGCTTACTCATTTCACATGGTATCAGAGCGGGTTCCCTGTGGAACTCTGCCTAGGGCCCACCGAAGCGCGCCCCGAGGCGCGCTCAACTTTTTTTTTCCGCTATCAAGCGACCCTCCGTGTCGCCTCCCTCCCACACGCGGCCCAGCCGCCCGCTACGATCGCGGCCCCAGCCGCCTGCTCGACGCGGCCCCCAGCCGCCTGCTCGACGCGGCCCCAGCCGCCTGCTCGACGCGGCCCCCAGCCGCCTGCTCGACGCGGCCCCCAGCCGCGTGCTCGACGCGGCCCTGCCGCCCGCTACGCCGCGGCCGCCGCCTGCTACGACCGCGGCCCCGGCCGCCTGCTACGACCGCGGCCCCCAGCCGCCTGTTCGACCGCGGCCCCGCCGCCCGCTCCTGTCGCGGCCCCCAGCCGCCTGCTTGACGCGGCCCTGCCGCCCGCTACGCCGCGGCCGCCGCCTGCTACGACCGCGGCCCCGGCCGCCTGCTACGACCGCGGCCCCAGCCGCCTGTTCGACCGCGGCCCAGCCGCCCGCTCCTGTCGCGGCCCCCAGCCGCCTGCTCGACGCGGCCCTGCCGCCCGCTACGCCGCGGCCGCCGCCTGCTACGACCGCGGCCCCGGCCGCCTGCTACGACCGCGGCCCCCAGCCGCCTGTTCGACCGCGGCCCCGCCGCCCGCTCCTGTCGCGGCCCCCAGCCGCCTGCTTGACGCGGCCCTGCCGCCCGCTACGCCGCGGCCGCCGCCCACTACGATCGCGGCCCCGGCCGCCTGCTACGACCGCGGCCCCAGCCGCCTGTTCGACCGCGGCCCCGCCGCCTACTACCGTAGCGGCCCCGGCCGTCTTCTCGCGCGGCCCAGCCGCCCACCTACTACCGGGAGCCGAGCCGCCCTGCAGCCGAGCCGCCCGGGAGCCGAGCCGCCCTGCACCCGAGCCGCCCTGTCGCCGAGCCGCCCGGGAGCCGAGCCGCCCTGCCCCCGAGCTGCCCTGCCGCCGAGCCGCCCGGGAGCCGAGCCGCCCTGCGCCCGAGCCGCCCAGCACCCGAGCCGCCAGGTCGCTGAGCCGCCTTTCTGCATACCTACTCGACCTGCCCTGCCTGGTGAGCACAGTCCCACTGCCACTGCAAGCTCTTTCCCTACTGCTTGCACTGCGTCGCTGTCGTCGCCATGGCTACCCCTAGTGTCCTAGCTTTTGACGCTGAGGGTCGCGCCATTGATTTTGAGGTCTGGTTAGACGACCTGCAGCTGTTCTTACAGTGCGACAGGGCTGACGACCTTTCTCTCTTTGACCTCACCTCTGGCGCCTCTCCTGCTCCTGCTGCTGATGCTGATCCCGCTGTCCGCTCTAAGTGGGCCACCCGCGATGCTGCTGCACGTCTTGCTGTGCGTCGCCACCTCCCTACCTCTGAGCGTGCGCAATATAGTCAGTACAAGAGTGCTCAGACCTTGTACGACGCTGTAGTTGCGCGCTACTCCTCCCCTTTCCTGACCTCTCTGCCTTTCCCACTGTCGCTGACCTCATTACGCACCTCCGCACTAGTGACACTCGCTACCGCGCCGCCCTTCCTGCTGAGTTCTGCGCTAAGAACCCCCCCCCCATGTACATCGCTCTCTACTACGTAGTCGCGCGCCTCCCTGACTCCCTTCGCGTCGTCAGGGACCACTTTCTCGTAGTCTGTCCCACCACCCTCACCGTCGACCTCCTCGAGAAGGCCCTCCTTGCAGCGGAGAAGAGCATAGTCGCTGTAGGTGCTTCTCGTGGTGACCCTCGCACCCCCATCTTTGAGGGGTGCTCTCCTTCCCCCTTGCTGCCCTCTGTTGCCTCTGCTGCTGCTGCCGACCTGCTTGGTCTTGAGTCGGTCGGCGCGGCGTCTGCCCCTAGTGGGAGACGTCGCTCCAGCAAGGGCAAGGGGGGCAAGGGCGCGGGTGGAGCTGGAGGGGGCGGTGGCGGTGGCGGCGGTGGCAGCGGAGGGAGTGGGGGTGGCGGCGGGACTAGTGGCGGGGGTGGTGGTGGTGGTGGTGGCAGCAGCGGCGGAGACGGTGGTGGTGGAGCCAGCGGTGGTGGTGGAGGCAGCGGCGGAGGTGGAGGCGGCGGAGGTGGAGGTGGTGGAGGCGGCAGCGGAGGAGGCAGTGGTGGTGGAGGAGGTGGAGCTGGTCGGGGTGGTACCCAGCAGCGTAGCGGTGGTGGTGGTGGCCAGCGCTCGCACCGGCAGCAGCAGCAGCGCTCGCGGGACATCCCTTCGCCTCAGCAGCTTCGTGAGTGGTACGCTGGGCGTCAGAGGGGTGGGGGTACTGGTCCCTGCACCTACGTTCTTCGTTCCGGCGACCGCGCGGGTGAGCAGTGTGGGGGTGCCCACGCCACCCAGCGCTGCTTTGGCCGCCTGACGGACGCCTGGCGTCAGTAGTTCCCTGGGGCTAGTGAGATCCCTCGCTGGGATGAGCTTCTCAGGGCTGGTGTAGCGATCTTTGATCTTGATTTTGATGCTATCCTTACTGCTATGTATGTTGTGGATTATAGTGAGGAGAATGAGGGTTACCGTTGTTTCCGGCCCGACCCGGGCATTGGTACTGCTGCGCTAGGTGCTTGTGAGGCTGCTGCTCTAGGTGCCAGTGCGTCTGCGCTCTCAGGTACTGGTGAGACTGCGCTCTCAGGTACTGCGTCGTCCTCGTCCTCCCTCACTTTCACACTTGACTCCGGAGCTTCTCACACAGCGACGGGTCAGCAGTAGAAGGAGCAAACCCAAGAGCCGCAAGCGTAGTCCTCAGTGTGTCGTGCCACTCACGCGGTGCCTGGCGGAGACCGTAGACTGGCCGTCGGAGGCTCCACTGGGTGCCAGGAGGGAAAGTCCCAGTGAAGCCAGGTGGACGGCGCAGCCAGATCTCCTCGTGCAGGCTACCCTGCAGGAACGCAGTGCTGAAGTCGAGAGAGTGAAGCTCGTAGTCGCGCTGAGCGGCTATGTGCAGCAGCACCCGAAGAGTGGTCATCTTCGGGGTGGGAGAGAAGGTCTGAAAGTAGTCAACTCCCTGCCGCTGACTGAAGCCACGAGCAACGTACCGCGCCTTGAAGACAGGTGGAGAGCCCGGCGGCCGCTTCACCCGGAAGATCCACATGCCACTGACTATGTTCGCCCCAGGAGGGGGAACTGCGTCAACGTAGGTGCCTGTGGACTTCCAGGAAGCCGTCTCTGCATCCATAGCTGCCTGCCACTGAGAGGAGTAGGGACCCTCTACAGCCTCCGCGTAAGAACGCGGAGTCGGGATGTCTAGTGCATCCGGGTCTCCCTCAGGGGCAAGCAGTACAGACGCGAGATGAGGTGAAGCAGCCGCTAGACACTGTAACTCCTCCTGTCTGTCCTCTAGGACGTCCGTGCCAAGAGCACACTCACCCCCGACGGACGGAGGACAGACAGACGCAGACTCAGCAACAAGACCAGCAGCGTAGTCGAGACGACAGCGAGCAGCAAAGTCAACGAGCTCAGCGACTAGAGCAGACGCAGCAGTGGACTCAAAAGAGGGGTCAGTGACGACAGTAGCAAGCAGACGCGTGACAGTAGGACTGGCAGCGCGAAGAGAGTCCGACTCAGGGTCGGCAAGCGCAGGAAGAGAGGACTCAGGAGGAGAAGGCAAAGGGGCACGCAGAGGAGCAGTGGACGGACGCAGAGACATCCGGTGCGTGCCAGGGACAGGAGGAGGACGCTGACGCGAACCGCGACCACTAGCGCGAGCAGCACGAACAGGCGACGCGGGACGAGACGCAGGCTCACGGCGCTCAGCAAGACCTCTAGTAGGACCAGTGTAAGGAGAGGGAGCAGGCAGAGGAGAGGAGGACTCCAACAGTGACTGCGACTGGACAGGCTGTGGACACTCTACCGAAGGAGAAAGACCAAGAACCTGCTGTAGGAGCGGAACGAAGTACGGCCGAGGCCGCGCGGCAGCTCCAGACACAGCAGGGACAGCACCAGCACCCTGAGCGACAGCACCAGCGCCACCCACACCTCCAGCGGCAGGGCCAACAGCAGTAGGCTCAGCACGAACGCCCTCAGCACCTCCAGCTCCAGGAGGACCCGCAGGTCCAGCAGCTCCGGGACCGGCAGCATCCGCACCCTCGACGGTCGAAGAAGCTCCAGCTCCAGCTCCAGCAGCACCTCCAGACTCAGCAGCACGCCTCCAGCGGCGAGCATACCACTCGCGCAGCTCCTGTGGAGAGAGGGGCTCCCGGCGAGACGCAGCAGCAGGAGAAACCCCAGGCTCAGCAGCTCCAGACGCAGCAGGGACAGCACCAGCACCCTCAGCTACAGCACCAGCGCCACTCACACCTCCAGCGGCAGGACCAACAGCAGTAGGCTCAGCACGAACGCCCTCAGCAGCTCCAGCTCCAGGAGGACCCGCAGGTCCAGTAGCTCCGGGACCGGCAGCACCAGCACCCTCGACGGTCGAAGAAGCTCTGATACCATGTGAGAATAAGCGAACAGGAATGGATCAACTAGAAGTGAAAAGAGTACAAGTAGTAAACCCTAGAATTGTGTACCCCCTATGGGCTAACCCACTGTAGCCTACACAAGTATAACATATATAATGTTTGACATAAAGAAAATGGTGCATTGGCCAGGTCGGTCAGTATCGCAACTTAAAATGCAAATGCCAGGGAGAACGGAAGCGCTCAGATCTCGCATAGTACACGGAATCAAGTGGTCTCACTCAAATAGAAAGTAGAAAATATATTCATCTAGTGAACGTAAGGGTTTGAAAGGTAACTAACGCACATGTGTAGAGAAAATTGTGCATCGGCCAGTCTGGCCGGCATTTCGCACTTATAGTGCAACTAGGGCCAAGGAGAACGGAAACGCTCATTTCTCAATAAGTAGAGGGAATCTAGCGGTCTCACTCGATCAGAAGGTGGGAAATATATAAATCTAGTGAGCTAATAAGGTTCGAAAGGAATCTAATGCATATGTATATGGAAAATGGTGCATTGGCCAGGTCGGTCAGTATGGGAACTTAGAGTGCAAATGACATGGACGTGGTCGTGGACGTGGACGTGGACATGGATATGGACATGGACGTGGACATGGACGTGGACGTGGACATGGACGTTGACGTGGACATGGACGTGGACATGGACGTGGACGTGGACATGGACGTGGACGTGGACGTGGACGTGGACATGGACGTAGACGTGGACGTGGACGTGGACGTGGACGTGGACGTGGTCGTGGACGTGGACGTGGACGTGGACGTGGACGTGGACGTGGACGTGGAATTGGACGAGGACGTGCACGTGGACGAAGACATGGTCGTGGACGTGGACGTGGACGTAGACATGGACGTAGACGTGGACGTGGACGTGGACATGGACGTGGACCTGGTCGTGGACGTGGACGTGGAGGAACATGGACGTGGACGTGGACATGGACATGGACGTGGACGTGGACGTGGACGTGGACGTGGACGTTGACGTGGACGTGGACCTGGTCGTGGACGCGGACATGGATGTGGACGTGGACATGGACGTGGACGTGGACATGGACGTGGACGTCGACATGGTTGTGGACGCGGACGTGGACGTGGACGTGGACATGGACGTAGACATGGTCGTGGACGTGGACATGGACATGGACGTGGACGTGGTCGTGGACGTAGACGTGGACGTGGACGTGGACTTGGACGTGGACGTGGACGTGGACATGGACGTGGACATAGACGTGGACATAGACGTGGACGTGGACGTAGACATGGACGTAGACGTGGACGTGGACGTAGACGTGGACATGGACGTGGACGTGGACGTGGACGTAGACATGGACGTGGACGTGGTCGTGGACGTGGACGTGGACGTGGACGTGGACATGAAGGTGGACATGGACGTGGACATGGACGTGGACGTGGACGTGGACGTGGACATGTACGTGGACGTGGACGTGGACGTGGACCTGGTCCTGGACGTGGACATGGACGTGGACGTGGACATGGACGTGGACGTGGACGTGGACGTGGACGTGGACATGGACATGGACGTGGACGTGACGTGGACGTGTGTCAAACATTATATATGTTATGCTTGTGTAGGCTACAGTGGGTTAGCCTATAGGGGGTACACAATTCTAGGGTTTACTACTTGTACTCATTTCCCTTCTAGTTCATCCATTCCTGCTTACTCATTTCACATGGTATCAGAGCGGGTTCCCTGTGGAACTCTGCCTAGGGCCCACCGAAGCGCGCCCCGAGGCGCGCTCAACTTTTTTTTCCGCTATCGAGCGACCCTCCGTGTCACCTCCCTCCCACACGCGGCCCAGCCGCCCGCTACGATCGCGGCCCCAGCCGCCTGCTCGACGCGGCCCCCAGCCGCCTGCTCGACGCGGCCCCAGCCGCCTGCTCGACGCGGCCCCCAGCCGCCTGCTCGACGCGGCCCCCAGCCGCCTGCTCGACGCGGCCCTGCCGCCCGCTACGCCGCGGCCGCCGCCTGCTACGACCGCGGCCCCGGCCGCCTGCTACGACCGCGGCCCCCAGCCGCCTGTTCGACCGCGGCCCCGCCGCCCGCTCCTGTCGCGGCCCCCAGCCGCCTGCTTGACGCGGCCCTGCCGCCCGCTACGCCGCGGCCGCCGCCTGCTACGACCGCGGCCCCGGCCGCCTGCTACGACCGCGGCCCCAGCCGCCTGTTCGACCGCGGCCCAGCCGCCCGCTCCTGTCGCGGCCCCCAGCCGCCTGCTCGACGCGGCCCTGCCGCCCGCTACGCCGCGGCCGCCGCCTGCTACGACCGCGGCCCCGGCCGCCTGCTACGACCGCGGCCCCCAGCCGCCTGTTCGACCGCGGCCCCGCCGCCCGCTCCTGTCGCGGCCCCCAGCCGCCTGCTTGACGCGGCCCTGCCGCCCGCTACGCCGCGGCCGCCGCCCACTACGATCGCGGCCCCGGCCGCCTGCTACGACCGCGGCCCCAGCCGCCTGTTCGACCGCGGCCCCGCCGCCTACTACCGTAGCGGCCCCGGCCGTCTTCTCGCGCGGCCCAGCCGCCCACCTACTACCGGGAGCCGAGCCGCCCTGCAGCCGAGCCGCCCGGGAGCCGAGCCGCCCTGCACCCGAGCCGCCCTGTCGCCGAGCCGCCCGGGAGCCGAGCCGCCCTGCCCCCGAGCTGCCCTGCCGCCGAGCCGCCCGGGAGCCGAGCCGCCCTGCGCCCGAGCCGCCCAGCACCCGAGCCGCCAGGTCGCTGAGCCGCCTTTCTGCATACCTACTCGACCTGCCCTGCCTGGTGAGCACAGTCCCACTGCCACTGCAAGCTCTTTCCCTACTGCTTGCACTGCGTCGCTGTCGTCGCCATGGCTACCCCTAGTGTCCTAGCTTTTGACGCTGAGGGTCGCGCCATTGATTTTGAGGTCTGGTTAGACGACCTGCAGCTGTTCTTACAGTGCGACAGGGCTGACGACCTTTCTCTCTTTGACCTCACCTCTGGCGCCTCTCCTGCTCCTGCTGCTGATGCTGATCCCGCTGTCCGCTCTAAGTGGGCCACCCGCGATGCTGCTGCACGTCTTGCTGTGCGTCGCCACCTCCCTACCTCTGAGCGTGCGCAATATAGTCAGTACAAGAGTGCTCAGACCTTGTACGACGCTGTAGTTGCGCGCTACTCCTCCCCTGCCACTGCTGCACTGAGCCGTCTCATGCTTCCCTACCTCTTTCCTGACCTCTCTGCCTTTCCCACTGTCGCTGACCTCATTACGCACCTCCGCACTAGTGACACTCGCTACCGCGCCGCCCTTCCTGCTGAGTTCTGCGCTAAGAACCCCCCCCCCATGTACATCGCTCTCTACTACGTAGTCGCGCGCCTCCCTGACTCCCTTCGCGTCGTCAGGGACCACTTTCTCGCAGTCTGTCCCACCACCCTCACCGTCGACCTCCTCGAGAAGGCCCTCCTTGCAGCGGAGAAGAGCATAGTCGCTGTAGGTGCTTCTCGTGGTGACCCTCGCACCCCCATCTTTGAGGGGTGCTCTCCTTCCCCCTTGCTGCCCTCTGTTGCCTCTGCTGCTGCTGCCGACCTGCTTGGTCTTGAGTCGGTCGGCGCGGCGTCTGCCCCTAGTGGGAGACGTCGCTCCAGCAAGGGCAAGGGGGGCAAGGGCGCGGGTGGAGCTGGAGGGGGCGGTGGCGGTGGCGGCGGTGGCAGCGGAGGGAGTGGGGGTGGCGGCGGGACTAGTGGCGGGGGTGGTGGTGGTGGTGGTGGCAGCAGCGGCGGAGACGGTGGTGGTGGAGCCAGCGGTGGTGGTGGAGGCAGCGGCGGAGGTGGAGGCGGCGGAGGTGGAGGTGGTGGAGGCGGCAGCGGAGGAGGCAGTGGTGGTGGAGGAGGTGGAGCTGGTCGGGGTGGTACCCAGCAGCGTAGCGGTGGTGGTGGTGGCCAGCGCTCGCACCGGCAGCAGCAGCAGCGCTCGCGGGACATCCCTTCGCCTCAGCAGCTTCGTGAGTGGTACGCTGGGCGTCAGAGGGGTGGGGGTACTGGTCCCTGCACCTACGTTCTTCGTTCCGGCGACCGCGCGGGTGAGCAGTGTGGGGGTGCCCACGCCACCCAGCGCTGCTTTGGCCGCCTGACGGACGCCTGGCGTCAGTAGTTCCCTGGGGCTAGTGAGATCCCTCGCTGGGATGAGCTTCTCAGGGCTGGTGTAGCGATCTTTGATCTTGATTTTGATGCTATCCTTACTGCTATGTATGTTGTGGATTATAGTGAGGAGAATGAGGGTTACCGTTGTTTCCGGCCCGACCCGGGCATTGGTACTGCTGCGCTAGGTGCTTGTGAGGCTGCTGCTCTAGGTGCCAGTGCGTCTGCGCTCTCAGGTACTGGTGAGACTGCGCTCTCAGGTACTGCGTCGTCCTCGTCCTCCCTCACTTTCACACTTGACTCCGGAGCTTCTCGCTCCTTCTTTCGAGACCGCACTACCCTTACGCCGCTCGGCCGGCCGGTTGCAGTCTCCCTTGCTGACCCCTCTGGAGGTCCTGTCCTGTCTCACTTCTCCACTGTCCTCCCGTGTCCGGCTGCCCCTTCGGGCACCCTGTCGGGTCTGTACCTTCCCTCGTTCTCCACGAACTTGGTGAGTGGAGCGGACCTGCAGGATGGGGGTGTTCACCAGTTCACTCCTGCGAGTCAGCGGGTGACCCACTGCACGGAGGCACGCACAGGCCGACACCTGGCCACGTTCTCGCGTCGGCCGGGGTCGAGTCTCTACACCCTGACCGTTGAGTCTCCTCCTGTCCCTGCGTCTGGTCAGGTGGCTGCGTCGGGTCAGGTACTTGCTGCTGCGTCCCGGTCAGGTCCTGAGTCTGCCCCCTGTTCTTGTCGCCTCTTGTCTCACGAGACTCTCCTGTGGCACCACCGTCTTGGCCACCCCTCCTTGCCCAGTCTTCGGAGCATGGCTTCCCGTGTCCTTGTCTCTGGTCTTCCCCAGTCTCTCCCTCCTCTCCCCTCCGGGCCAGGACCTTCCTGTGTCCCCTGTGTCGAGGGTCGCCTCCGGGCTACTCCTCACTCCTCCCACTTCCCCCCGACAGAGGCTCCCCTGCAGACGCTTCACATGGATGTGTGGGGCCCAGCCCCTGTCCGTGGGCAGGGTTACGAGCGCTACTTCCTGTTGGTGGTTGACGACTACTCGCGTTACACCACAGTCCTCCCCTTGCGCAGCAAGGGTGCGGTCACTGAGGTGCTGATCGACTGGATCCGCGAGGCTCGTCTCCAGCTCAGGAAGAGCTTCGGCTCGGACTTTCCTGTTCTGCGTCTGCACTCTGACAGAGGCGGAGAGTTCTCTTCTCGCCTTCTGCGGGACTACTGTCGTGCACGGGGGATCCGCCAGACCTTCACGCTTCCGGACTCACCACAGCAAAATGGGATTGCTGAGCGCCGCATTGGCATGGTCATGGATGTCGCTCGTACGTCCATGATGCATGCGGCTGCCCCCCATTTTCTGTGGCCGTTTGCGGTGAGGTACGCGGCGCATCAGCTCAACCTTCACCCCCGGGTCTCTCGGCCTGCGATGTCCCCAGTCTTGCTGTGGACGGGGAAGGTTGGCGATGCGTCTGTGTTCCGTGTCTGGGGATCTCGGGCGTTTGTCCGCGACTTGTCTGCGGACAAGCTGTCCCCTCGTGCTGCTCCCTGTGTCTTCCTTGGCTTCCCCACTGACGCCCCAGGGTGGCAGTTTTACCACCCCTCCTCTCGTCGTGTTCTGTCCTCCCAGGACGTCACGTTCGACGAGTCAGTCCCCTTCTACCGTCTCTTCCCCTACCGCACTCCTTCCCTCCCCCCTCCCCCGGACTTCCTTGTGCCGGTTCCCCCCCCGGTAGACCCCCTCCCCCCTCAGGTTCCTGCCCCCTCAGGTGTGTCCCAGGTAGACGCCGTTGACCCGGTCGAGGTTACTGGTGACTCTGGTGCTGCTGCGGGTGCTGAGCCTGGGGGTGCTGACTCTGGGGGTGCTGTGCGCGGGGGTGCTGAGCCTGGGGGTGCTACTGGTGGGGGTGCTGGGCCTGAGGGTGCTACTCCTGAGGGTGCGGAGCCTGGGGGTGCTTAGCCGGGGGGTGCTGTGCCTGGAGGTGCTGGGTCTGGGGGTGCTGGGTCGGGAGCTGCTGGGCCTGGGGGTACTGAGCTGGGAGCTGCTGAGCCTGGGGGTGCTACGTCTGGAGCTGCTGAGCCTGGGGTTTCTCCTGCTGCTGCGTCTCGCCGGGAGCCCCTCTCTCCACAGGAGCTGCGCGAGTGTTTCGCTCGCCGCTGGAGGCGTGCTGCTGAGTCTGGAGGTGCTGCTGGAGCTGGAGCTGGAGCTTCTTCGACCGTCGAGGGTGCGGGTGCTGCCGGTCCCGGAGCTGCTGGACCTGCGGGTCCTCCTGGAGCTGGAGCTGCTGAGGGCGTTCGTGCTGAGCCTGCTGCTGTTGGTCCTGCCGCTGGAGGTGTGGGTGGCGCTGGTGCTGTAGCTGAGGGTGCTGGTGCTGTCCCTGCTGAGTCTGGAGCTGCCGCGCGGCCTCGGCCGTACTTCGTTCCGCTCCTGCAGCAGGTTCTTGGTCTTTCTCCTCCAGTAGAGGGTCCACCGCCTGTCCAGTCGCAGTCCCTACTGGAGCCTTCCTCTCCACTGCCTGCTCCCTCTCCTTACACTGGTCCTACTGGAGGTCTTGCTGAGCGTCGTGAGCCTGCGTCTCGTCCCGCGTCGCCTGTTCGTGCTGCTCGCGCTAGTGGTCGCAGTTCGCGTCAGCGTCCTCCTCCTGTCCCTGGCACGCACCGGATGTCTCTGCGTCCGTCCACTGCTCCTCTGCGTGCCCCTTTGCCTTCTCCTCCTGAGTCCTCTCTTCCTGCGCTTGCCGACCCTGAGTCGGACTCTCTTCGCGCTGCGAGTCCTACTGTCACGCGTCTGCTTGCTACTGTCGTCACTGACCCCTCTTTTGAGTCCACTGCTGCGTCTGCTCTAGTCGCTAAGCTCGTTGACTTTGCTGCCCGCTGTCGTCTCGACTACGCTGCTAGTCTTGTTGCTGAGTCTGTCTGTCCTCCGTCCGTCGGGGGTGAGTGTGCTCTTGGCACGGACGTCCTAGAGGACAGGCAGGAGGAGTTACAGTGTCTAGCGGCTGCTTCACCTCATCTCGCGTCTGTACTGCTTGCCCCTGAGGGAGACCCGGATGCACTAGACATCCCGACTCCACGTTCTTACGCGGAGGCCGTAGAGGGTCCCTACTCCTCTCAGTGGCAGGCAGCTATGGATGCAGAGATGGCTTCCTGGAAGTCCACAGGCACCTACGTTGACGCGGTTCCCCCTCCTGGGGCGAACATCGTCAGTGGCATGTGGATCTTCAGGGTGAAGCGCCCGCCGGGCTCTCCACCTGTTTTCAAGGCACGGTACGTTGCTCGTGGCTTCAGTCAGCGGCAGGGAGTTAACTACTTTCAGACCTTCTCTCCCACCCCGAAGATGACCACTCTTCGGGTGCTGCTGCACATAGCCGCTCAGCGCGACTACGAGCTTCACTCTCTCGACTTCAGCACTGCGTTCCTGCAGGGTAGCCTGCACGAGGAGATCTGGCTTCGCCGTCCACCTGGCTTCACTGGGACTTTCCCTCCTGGCACCCAGTGGAGCCTCCGACGGCCAGTCTACGGTCTCCGCCAGGCACCGCGTGAGTGGCACGACACACTGAGGACTACGCTTGCGGCTCTTGGGTTTGCTCCTTCTACTGCTGACCCGTCGCTGTTTCTTCGCACCGACACTTCCCTGCCGCCGTTCTACATCCTCGTGTACGTCGACGACTTGGTCTTTGCCACAGCGGACACTGCTGGACTCGCCTACGTGAAGTCCGAGCTGCTGAAGAGACACACGTGCACAGACCTGGGTGAACTGCGCAGCTACCTTGGCTTGCAGATCACTCGGGACAGAGCACGCCGCACCATTACCTTGACTCAGTCACACATGGTGCAGCAGGTCCTTCAGCGCTTCGGCTTCACGTACTCCTCGCCTCAGGCCACTCCTCTGCCTACTCGCCACTCACTCTCAGCTCTGCCTTCGGATGAGTCCGTAGAGTCGAGTGGTCCGTATGCAGAGCTTGTTGGCTGCCTCATGTACCTGATGACCTGCACACGACCTGACCTTGCATACCCTCTGAGCATTCTTGCACGCTATGTTGCTCCTGGGAGACACAGACCAGAGCACATGGCTGCAGCGAAGAGGGTATTGCGCTACCTGTGCAGTACGTCGGGTATGGGGCTAGTGCTTGGAGGGCGGAGTCCAGTGGTCCTTACCGGCCACGCGGACGCTTCTTGGGCTGACGACCAGGCTACGCAGCGGTCGTCACAGGGTTACACCTTCAGCCTTGGTTCCGGCTCTGTCTCGTGGCGGTCTACTCGCTCGTCTTCGGTTCTCGGCTCCAGTTGTGAGGCTGAGATCTACGCCGGGGCCATGGCTGCACAGGAGCTTCGCTGGCTCACCTACCTGCTGACTGACCTTGGAGAGCCGCCTCGTTCTCCTCCAGTGCTGTACGTAGACAACAAGGCCATGCTTACCTTGTGTCGAGAGCAGCGCTTGGAGCACAGAACGAAGCACATTGCTCTCCGCTACTTCCTTGCTCGTGAGCTGCAGCAGCGTGGTCAGTTGCGACTTGCGTACGTGGCCTCTGAGGCCAACACTGCTGATGTGTTCACCAAGGCACTCGCGCCTTGTGACCATCAGCGCTTTTGCACCCAGCTGGGTCTTGTGCCTGTCTTGCCTCACTTGCTCTCCTCTTGACTTTACCTGTACTGTGACATATATATATACCTGCTCTTGCTTGTCTAGTTTTATATATATGTCTGTACTCCTGCATGTGAACTGGCCTCTGGCCCTGCTCTTGTGCTCGGACTGTGTGGTGACTTTGTGATCCACCCTGAGCTTTGCTTTGCTTTGCTTGACTGGTCTTGTGACCCCTTGTTCTCCCCCACTTTGCCTATGGGGGTGTGTCAAACATTATATATGTTATGCTTGTGTAGGCTACAGTGGGTTAGCCTATAGGGGGTACACAATTCTAGGGTTTACTACTTGTACTCATTTCCCTTCTAGTTCATCCATTCCTGCTTACTCATTTCACAACGTGGACATGGTTATGGACGTGGACGTGGACATGGACGTGGACGTGGACGTGGACGTGGACGAAGACATGGTCGTGGACGTGGACGTGGACGTAGACATGGACGTAGACTTGGACGTGGACGTGGACGTGGACGTGGTCGTGGACGTGGACGTGGACGTGGAGGAACATGGACGTGGACGTGGACGTGGACGTGGACATTGACGTGGGCGTAGACGTGGACGTGGACGTGGACGTGGACGAAGACATGGTCGTGGACGTGGACGTGGACGTGGACGTGGACGTGGACATGGACGTGGACGTGGACGTGGACTTGGACGTGGACGTGGACGTTGACGTGGACGTGAACGTGGACGTGGACGTGGACAGGGACATGGACGTGGACGTGGACGTGGACATGGTCGTGGACGTGGACGTGGACGTGGACATGGTCGTGGACGTGGACGTGGACGTGGACGTGGACATGGACGTGGACGTGGACGTGGACATGGACATGGACGTGAACGCGGACGTGGACGTGGACAGGGACGTGGACGTGGACGTAGACGTGGACGTGGACATGGACGTGGACGTGGACGTGACGTGGACGTGGACATGGACGTGGACGTAAACGTGGACGTGGATATGGACGACGTGGATATGGACGTGGACGTGGACGTGGACGTGGACGTGGACATGGACGTGGATGTGGACATGGACGTGGACATGGACGTGGGAAGGGGATGGGGGGAAGTAGGGAAGGGGATGGGGGGGAGCAGGGAAGGGGATGGGGGGAAGCAGGGCAGGGGATACGGGGTAAGAGGGGATAGGATAGGGGGAAGCATGGCTAGGGATACGGGGAAGCAGGGAAGAGGATGGGGGGAACGTGGGCAGATGCCGGGGAGAGAGCTGGGGGGAGGATGGTGGGGAGCAGAGAGGGAATCAAAACGCTGTTTGATTGTGGTGGCGTAGCGACCACCTCTGTTTCTCCCCATCTGTTCCTCCCCATCTGTCCCACCCCTTCAGAAGGAATGAGGGAGGAAGGATGGGCTGGAGCTAGTAAGATGGGGAGAGGGGAAGAGCGGATGGAAACGCGGAGGTGGACATGGACGTGGACATGGACGTGGACGTGGACGTGGACGTGGACATGGACGTGGACGTGGACGTGGACGTGGACGTGGACATGGACGTGGACGTGGACGTGGACATGGACGTGGACGTGGACGTGGACGTGGACGTGGACGTGGACATGGACGTGGACGTGGACGTGGACATGGACGTGGACGTAGACGTGGACGTGGACGTGGACGTGGACATGGACGTAGACGTGGACGTGGACATTGACGTGGGCGTAGACGTGGACGTGGACGTGGACGTGGACGAAGACATGGTCGTGGACGTGGACGTGGACGTGGACGTGGACGTGGACATGGACGTGGACGTGGACGTGGACTTGGACGTGGACGTGGACGTTGACGTGGACGTGAACGTGGACGTGGACGTGGACAGGGACATGGACGTGGACGTGGACGTGGACATGGTCGTGGACGTGGACGTGGACGTGGACATGGTCGTGGACGTGGACGTGGACGTGGACGTGGACATGGACGTGGACGTGGACGTGGACATGGACATGGACGTGAACGCGGACGTGGACGTGGACAGGGACGTGGACGTGGACGTAGACGTGGACGTGGACATGGACGTGGACGTGGACGTGACGTGGACGTGGACATGGACGTGGACGTAAACGTGGACGTGGATATGGACGACGTGGATATGGACGTGGACGTGGACGTGGACGTGGACGTGGACGTGGACATGGACGTGGATGTGGACATGGACGTGGACATGGACGTGGGAAGGGGATGGGGGGAAGTAGGGAAGGGGATGGGGGGGAGCAGGGAAGGGGATGGGGGGAAGCAGGGCAGGGGATACGGGGTAAGAGGGGATAGGATAGGGGGAAGCATGGCTAGGGATACGGGGAAGCAGGGAAGAGGATGGGGGGAACGTGGGCAGATGCCGGGGAGAGAGCTGGGGGGAGGATGGTGGGGAGCAGAGAGGGAATCAAAACGCTGTTTGATTGTGGTGGCGTAGCGACCACCTCTGTTTCTCCCCATCTGTTCCTCCCCATCTGTCCCACCCCTTCAGAAGGAATGAGGGAGGAAGGATGGGCTGGAGCTAGTAAGATGGGGAGAGGGGAAGAGCGGATGGAAACGCGGAGGTGGACATGGACGTGGACATGGACGTGGACGTGGACGTGGACGTGGACATGGACGTGGACGTGGACGTGGACGTGGACGTGGACATGGACGTGGACGTGGACGTGGACATGGACGTGGACGTGGACGTGGACGTGGACGTGGACGTGGACATGGACGTGGACGTGGACGTGGACATGGACGTGGACGTAGACGTGGACGTGGACGTGGACGTGGACATGGACGTAGACGTGGACGTGGACGTTGACGTGGATATGGACGTGGACGTGGACGTGGACGTGGACGTGGAGGAGTTGGACGTGGACATGGACGTGGACGTGGACAAGGACGTGGAAGTGGACGTGGACGTGGACGTGGAGAACTTGGACGTGGACATGGACGTGAACGTGGACGTGGACATGGACGTGGAGGACTTGGACGTGGACATGGACGTGGACGTGGACGTGGACATAAACGTGGGCGTGGACATGGAGGTGGACGTGGACGTGGACGTCGACATGGACGTGGACGTGGACGTGGACGTGGACGTGGACGTGGACGTGGACGTGGACATGGTCGTGGACATGGACATGAACATGGACGTGGACATGGTCGTGGACGTGGACGTGGACATGGACGTGGACGTGGACGCGACGTGGACGTGGACGTGGACGTGGACGTGCACCTGGTCGTGGACATGGACGTGGACGTGGACGTGGACGTGGACGTGGACGTGGACATGGACGTGGACGTGGACGTGGACGTGGACGTGGACGTGGACGTGGACTGGGACATGGACGTGGAGGTGGACGTGGAGTGGACGTGGACGTGGACGTCGACGTGGACGTGGACGTGGACGTGGACGTGGACGTGGACGTGGGAGTGGACGTGGGAGTGGACGTGGAGTGGACGTGGACGTGGACGTGGACGTGGACGTGGACGTGGACGTTGACGTGGACGTGGACGAGGACGTGGACGTTGACGTGGACGTGGACGTGGACGTGGACGTGGACATGGACGTGGACGTGGACGTGGACGTGGACGTGGACGTGGACGTGGACATGGACGTGGACGTGGACGTGGACGTGGACGTGGAGGACGTGGATGTGGACGTGGACGTGGACGTGGAGAACTTGGACGTCGACATGGACGTGAACGTGGACGTGGACGTGGACGTGGACGTGGACGTGGACGTGGACGTGGACGTGGAGAACTTGGACGTGGACATGGACGTGAACGTGGACGTGGACGTGGACGTGGAGGACTTGGACGTGGACATGGACGTGGACGTGGAGTGGACGTGGACGTGGACGTTGACGTGGACGTGGACGTGGACATGGACGTGGACGTGACGTGGACGTGGACGTGGACGTGGACGTGGACCTGGACGTGGACGTGGACGTGGACATAGACGTGGACGTGGACGTGGACGTGGACGTGGACGTGGACGTGGACATGGACGTGGACGTGGACGTGGACGTGGACGTGGACGTGGACGTGGAGTGGACGTGGACGTGGACGTGGACGTGGACGTGGACGTGGACATGGACGTGGACGTGGACGTGGACGTGGACGTGGAGATGGACGTGGACGTGGAAGTGGACGTGGACATGGACGTGGACGTAGACGTGGACGTGGACGTGGACATGGACGTGGACGTGGACGTGGACGTGGAGGACGTGGACGTGGACGTAGACGTGGACGTGGAGAACTTGGACGTGGACATGGACGTGAACGTGGACGTGGACGTGGACGTGGAGGACTTGGACGTGGACATGGATGTGGACGTGGACGTGGACGTGGACGTGGACGAGGACTTGGACGTGGACGTGGACATGGAAGTGGACGTGGACGTGGACGTGGACATGGACATGGACATGGACGTGGACGTGGACGTGGACGTGGACCTAGACGTGGACGTGGACGTGGACGTGGACGTGGACATGGACGTGGACGTGGACATAGACGTGGACGTGGACGTGGACGTGGACGTGGACGTGGACATGGACGTGGACGTGGACGTGAACAAGACGTGGACGTGGACGTGGACGTGGACGTGGACGTGAACAAGACGTGGACGTGAACATGGACGTGGACGTGGACATGGACGTGGACGTGGACATGAACGTGGACATGGACGTGGACATGGACGTGGACCTGGACATGGACGTGGACATGGACGTGGACATGGACGTGGACATGGACGTGGACGTGGACGTGGGCGTGGACGTGAAGATGGACGTGGACGTGGACGTGGAGGACTTGGACGTTGAGGTTGACGTTGACGTGGACGTGGACGTGGACGTGGACATGGACGAGGACGTGGACATGGACGTGGACGTGGACATGGACGTGGACATGTACGTGGACGTCGACGTGGAAGTGGACGTGGACGTGGAGAACTTGGACGTGGACATGGACGTGGACATGGACGTGGACGTGGACGTGGACGAAGACATGGTCGTGGATGTCGACGTGGACGTGGACGTGGACGTGGACATGGACTTAGACATGGACGTGGACGTGGACGTGGACGTGGTCGTGGACGTGGCTTGGTCGTGGACATGGACGTGGACGTGGACATGGACGTGGACGTGGACGTGGACGTAGACATGGACGTGGACCTGGACGTCCCTCTACTTTTTGAGAAATGAGCGTTTCCGTTCTCCTTGGCCCTAGTTGCACTATAAGTGCGAAATGCCGGCAAGTTTGGCCGATGCACAATTTTCTCTACACATGTGCGTTAGTTACCTTCCAAACCCTTACGTTCACTAGATGAATAGATTTCCTACTTTCTATTTGAGTGAGACCAGTTGATTCCGTGTACTATGCGAGATCTGAGCGCTTCCGTTCTCCCTGGCATTTGCATTTTAAGTACCAATACTGACCGACCTGGCCAATGCACCATTTTCTCTATACATGTGCATTGAATACATTTCAAACCTTTTTAGCTGACTAGATTTATATATTTCCCACCTTCTCATCAAGTGAGACCGTTAGATTCCCTCTACTTTTTGAGAAACGAGCGTTTCCATTCTCCCTGGCCCCACCTGCACTATGAGTGCGAAATGCCGGCCAGACTAGCCAATGCACCATTTTCTCTACACATGTGCGTTAGTTACCTTTCAAACCCTTACGTTCACTAGATGAATATATTTCCTACCTTATATTTGAGTGAGACCACTAGATTCCGTGTATTATGCGAGATCTGAGCGGTTCCGTTCTCCCATGCATTTGCACTCTAAGTTCCCATACTGACCGACCTGGCCGATGCACCACTTTCCATATACATATGCATTACATTCCTTCCGAACCTTATTAGCTCACTAGATTTATATATTTCCCACCTTCTGATCGAGTGAGACCGCTAGATTCCCTTTACTTTTTGAGAAATGAGCGTTTCCGTTCTCCTTGGCCCTACTTGCACTATAAGTGCGAAATGCCGGCCAGACTGGCCGATGCACCATTTTCTCTACACATGTGCGTTAGTTACCTTTCACACCATTACGTTCACTAGATGAATTTATTTCCTACCTTCTTTTTGAGTGAGACCACTAGATTCCGTGTACTATGCGAGATCTGAACGCTTCAGTTCTCCCTGGCATTTGCACTCTAAGTTCCCATACTGACCAACCTGGCCAATGCACCATTTTCCATATACATATGCATTAGATTCCTTTCAAACCTTATTAGCTCACTAGATTTATATATTTCCCACCTTCTGATCCAGTGATACCGCTAGATTCCCTCTACTTTTTGAGAAATGAGCGTTTCCGTTCTCCTTGGCCCTAGTTGCACTATAAGTGCGAAATGCCGGCCAGACTGGCCGATGCACCATTTTCTCTACACATGTGCGTTAGTTACCTTTCAAACCCTTACGTTCACTAGATGAATATATTTCCTACTTTCTATTTGAGTGAGACCACTTGATTCCGTGTACTATGCGAGATGTGAGCGCTTCCGTTCTCCCTGGCATTTGCATTCTAAGTTCCGATACAGACCGACCTGGCCAATGCACCATATTCTCTATACATGTGCGTTGAGTACATTTCAAACCTTTTTAGCTGACTAGATTTATATATTTCCCACCTTCTGATCGAATGAGACCATTAGATTCCCTCTACTTTTTGAGAAACGAGCGTTTCCGTTCTCTCTGGCCCCACCTGCACTATGAGTGCCAAATGCCGGCCAGACTGGCCGATGCACCATTTTCTCTTCACATGTGCGTTAGTTACCTTTCAAACCCTTACGTTCACTAGATGAATATATTTCCTACCTTATATTTGAGTGAGACCACTAGATTCCGTGCATTATGCGAGATCTGAGCGGTTCCGTTCTCCAAGGCATTTGCACTCTAAGTTCCCATACTGACCGACCTGGCCAATGCACCACTTTCCATATACATATGCATTAGATTCCTTCCGAACCTTATTAGCTGACTAGATTTATATATTTCCCACCTTCTGATCGAGTGAGACCGCTAGATTCCCTTTACTTTTTGAGAAATGAGCGTTTCCATTCTCCTTGGCCCTACTTGCACTATAAGTGCGAAATGCCGGTCAGACTGGCCGATGCACCATTTTCTCTACACATGTAGGTTAGTTACCTTTCAAACCTTTACGTTCACTAGATGAATTTATTTCCTACCTTCTATTTGAGTGAGACCACTAGATTCCGTGTACTATGCGAGATCTGAGCGCTTCCGTTCTCCCTGGCATTTGCACTCTAAGTTCCCATACTGACCGACCTGGCCAATGCACCATTTTCCATATACATATGCATTAGATTCCTTTCGAACCTTATTAGCTCACTAGATTTATATAATTCCCACCTTCTGATCGAGTGAGACCGCTAGATTCCCTTTACTTTTTGAGAAATGAGCGTTTCCGTTCTCCTTGGCCCTACTTGCACTATAAGTGCGAAATGACGGCCAGACTGGCCGATGCACAATTTTCTCTACACATGTGGGTTAGTTACCTTTCAAACCCTTACGTTCACTAGATGAATATATTTCCTACTTTCTATTTGAGTCAGACCACTTGATTCCGTGTACTATGCGAGATCTGAGCGGTTCCGTACTCCGAGGCATTTGCACTCCAAGTTCCCATACTGACCGACCTGGCCAATGCACCAATTTCCATATACATATGCATTAGATTCATTTCGAACCTTATTAGCTCACTAGATTTATATATTTCCCACCTTCTGATCGAGTGAAACTGCTAGATTCCATCTACTTTTTGAGAAATGAGCGTTTCCGTTCTCCTTGGCCGTACTTGCACTATAAGTGCGAAATGCCAGCCAGACTGGCCGATGCACCATTTTCTCTACACATGTGCGTTAGTTACCTTTCAAACCCTTACGTTCACTAGATGAATTTATTTCCTACCTTCTATTTGAGTGAGACCACTAGATTCCATGTACTATGCGAGATATGAGCGCTTCCGTTCTCCCTGGCATTTGCACTCTAAGTTCCCATACTTACCGACCTGGCCAATGCCCCATTTTCCATATACATATGCATTAGATTCCTTTCAAACCTTATTAGCTCACTAGATTTATATATTTCCCACCTTCTGATCGAGTGAGACCGCTAGATTCCCTCGACTATAGTTGCACTATAAGTGCGAAATGCCGGCCAGACTGGCCAATGCACAATTTTCTCTCCACATGTGCGTTAGTTACCTTTCAAACCTTTTCGTTTAGTAGATGAATATATTTCCTACTTTCTATTTGAGTGAGACCACTTGATTCCGTGTACTATGCGAGATCTGAGCGCTTCCGTTCTCCCTGGCATTTGCATTTTAAGTTCCGATACTGACCGACCTGGCCAATGCACCATTTTCTCTATACATGTGCGTTGAATACATTTCAAACCTTTTTAGCTGACTAGATTTATATATTTCCCACCTTCTGGTCGAGTCAGACCGTTAGATTCCCCCTACTTTTTGAGAAACGAGCGTTTCTGTTCTCCCTGGCCCCACCTGTTCTATGAGTGCGAAATCCCGGCCAGACTGGCCGATGCACCATTTTCTCTACACATGTGCGTTAGTTACCTTTCAAACCCTTACGTTCACTAGATGAATATATGTCCTACCTTATATTCGAGTGAGACCACTAGATTCCGTGTATTGTGCGAGATTTGAGCGGTTCCGTTCTCCCAGGCATTTGCACTCTAAGTTCCCATACTGACCGACCTGGCCAATACACCATTTTCCATATACATATGCATTAGATTCCTTCCGAACCTTATTAGCTCACTAGATTTATATATCTCCCACCTTCTGATCGAGTGAGACCGCTAGATTCCCTTTACTTTTTGAGAAATGAGCGTTTTCGTTCTCCTTGGCCCTACTTGCACTATAACTGCGAAATGCCGGCCAGACTGGCCGATGCACCATTCTTTTACACATGTGCGTTAGTTACATTTCAAACCCTTACGTTCGCTAGATGAATTTATTTCCTACATTCTATTTGAGTGAGACCACTAGATTCCGTGTACCATGCGAGATCTGAGCGCTTCCGTTCTCCCTGGCATTTGCACTCTAAGTTCCCATACGGACCGACCTGGCCAATGCACCATTTTTCATATACATATGCATTAGATTCCTTTCGAACCTTACTAGCTCACTAGATTTATATATTTCCCACATTCTGATCGAGTGAGACCGCTAGATTCCCATTACTTTTTGAGAAATGGGCGTTTCCGTTCTCCTTGGCCCTACTTGCACTATAAGTGCGAAATGCCGGCCAGACTGGCCGATGCACCATTTTCTCTACACATGTGCGTTAGTTACCTTTCAAACCCTTACGTTCACTAGATGAATATATTTCCTACCTTCTAGTTGAGTGAGACCACTAGATTCCGTGTACTATGCCAGATCTGAGCGCTTCCGTTCTCCCTGGCATTTGCACTCTAAGTTCCCATACTGACCGACCTGGCCAATGCACCATTTTCCATATACATATGCATTAGATTCCTTTCGAACCTTATTAGCTCACTAGATTTATATATTTCCCACCTTTTGATTGAGTGAGACCGCTAGATTCCCTTTACTTTTTGAGAAATGAGCGTTTCTGTTCTCCTTGGCCCTACTTGCACTATAAGTGCGAAATGCCGGCCAGACTGGCCGATGCACCATTTTCTCTACACTTGTGCGTTACTTACCTTTCAAACCCTTACGTTCACTAGATGAATTTATTTCCTACCTTCTATTTGAGTGAGACCACTAGATTCCGTGTACTATTCGAGATCTAAGCGCTTCCGTTCTCCCTGGCATTTGCACTCTAAGTGTGAAACAATGAGAAGAGGAATGAAATGACTAAGTCAGAAATTGGTACAAATAACAAACCCTAGGAATCTGTACCCCATATGTGCTACCCCACTACAGCCTACAAACATGTATCAGCTATAATGTTCTGACACACCCCCATAGGCAAAGTGGGGGAGAACAAGGGGTCACAAGACCAGTCAAGGAAAGCAAAGCAAGCTCAGGGTGGATCACAAAGTCACCACACAGTCCGAGCACAAGAGCAGGGCCAGAAGGCCAGTTCACATGCAGGAGTACAGACATATATATATTACTAGACAAGCAAGAGCAGGTATATATATATATCACAGTACAAGTGAAGTCAGGAAGAGAGCAAGTGAGGCAAGACAGGCACAAGACCCAGCTGGGTACAGAAGCGCTGATGGTCACAAGGCGCGAGTGCCTTGGTGAACACATCAGCAGTGTTGGCCTCAGAGGCCACGTACGCAAGTCGCAGCTGACCACGCTGCTGCAGCTCACGAGCAAGGAAGTAGCGGAGAGCAATGTGCTTCGTTCTGTGCTCCAGACGCTGCTCTCGACACAAGGCCAGCATGGCCTTGTTGTCTACGTACAGCACTGGAGGAGAACGAGGCGGCTCTCCAAGGTCAGTCAGCAGGTAGGTGAGCCAGCGAAGCTCCTGCGCAGCCATGGCCCCGGCGTAGATCTCAGCCTCACAACTGGAGCCGAGAACCGAAGACGAGCGAGTAGACCGCCACGAGACAGAGCCGGAACCAAGGCTGAAGGTGTAACCCTGTGATGACCGCTGCGTAGCCTGGTCGTCAGCCCAAGAAGCGTCCGCGTGGCCCGTAAGGACCACTGGACTCCGCCCTCCAAGCACTAGCCCCATGCCCGACGTACTGCACAGGTAGCGCAATACCCTCTTCGCTGCAGCCATGTGCTCAGGTCGGTGTCTCCCAGGAGCAACATAGCGTGCAAGGATGCTCAGAGGGTATGCAAGGTCAGGTCGTGTGCAGGTCATCAGGTACATGAGGCAGCCAACAAGCTCTGCATACGGGCCACTCGACTCTACGGACTCATCCGAAGGCAGAGCTGAGAGCGAGTGGCGAGTAGGTAGAGGAGTGGCCTGAGGCGAGGAGTACGTGAAGCCGAAGCGCTGAAGGACCTGCTGCACCATGTGTGACTGAGTCAGGGTAATGGTGCGGCGTGCTCTGTCCCGAGTGATCTGCAAGCCAAGGTAGCTGCGCAGTTCACCCAGGTCTGTGCACGTGTGTCTCTTCAGCAGCTCGGACTTCACGTAGGCGAGTCCAGCAGTGTCCGCTGTGGCAAAGACCAAGTCGTCGACGTACACGAGGATGTAGAGCGGGGGCAAGGAAGTGTCAGTGCGAAGAAACAGCGACGGGTCAGCAGTGGAAGGAGCAAACCCAAGAGCCGCAAGCGTAGTCCTCAGTGTGTCGTGCCACTCACGCGGTGCCTGGCGGAGACCGTAGACTGGCCGTCGGAGGCTCCACTGGGTGCCAGGAGGGAAAGTCCCAGTGAAGCCAGGCGGACGGCGCAGCCAGATCTCCTCGTGCAGGCTACCCTGCAGGAACGCAGTGCTGAAGTCGAGAGAGTGAAGCTCGTAGTCGCGCTGAGCGGCAACGTGCAGCAGCACCCGAAGAGTAGTCATCTTCGGGGTGGGAGAGAAGGTCTGAAAGTAGTCAACTCCCTGCCGCTGACTGAAGCCACGAGCGACGTAACGCGCCTTGAAGACAGGCGGAGAGCCCGGCGGCCGCTTCACCCTGAAGATCCACATGCCACTGACGATGTTCGCCCCAGGAGGGGGAACTGCGTCAACGTAGGTGCCTGTGGACTTCCAGTAAGCCATCTCTGCATCCATAGCTGCCTGCCACTGAGAGGAGTAGGGACCCTCTACGGCCTCCGCGTAAGAACGCGGAGTCGGGATGTCTAGTGCATCCGGGTCTCCCTCAGGGGCAAGCAGTACAGACGCGAGATGAGGTGAAGCAGCCGCTAGACACTGTAACTCCTCCTGCCTGTCCTCTAGGACGTCCGTGCCAAGAGCACACTCACCCCCGACGGACGGAGGACAGACAGACGCAGACTCAGCAACAAGACCAGCAGCGTAGTCTAAGCGACAGCGAGCAGCAAAGTCGACAAGCTCAGTGAGCAGGGCAGACGCAGCAGAAGACTCGAAAGAAGGGTCAGTGACCACAGTAGCAAGGAAACGCGTGACAGTAGGACTGGCAGCACGCAGAAAGTCCGACGCAGGGTCGGCAAGCGCAGGAAGAGAGGACGCAGGAGGAGAAGGCAAAGGGGCACGCAGAGGAGCAGTAGACGGACGCAAAGACATCTGGTGCGTGCCAGGGACAGGAGGAGGACGCTGACGCGAACCGCGACCAGTAGCGCGAGCAGGACGAACAGGCGACGCAGGACGAGACGCAGGCTCACGACGCTCAGCAAGACCTCCAGTAGGACCAGTGTAAGGAGAGGGAGCAGGTAGCGGAGAGGAAGGCTCCAGCAGGGACTGCGACTGGACAGGCGGTGGACTCTCTACCGGAGGAGAAAGACCAAGAACCTGCTGCAGTAGCGGAACGAAGTACGGTCGAGGCCGCTCAGCAGCTCCAGGCGCAGCAGGGACAGCTCCAGCACCCTCAGCGACAGCACTAGGGCCACCAACTCCTCCAGCAGCAGGACCAACAGCAGCAGTCTCAGCACCAACACCCTCAGCAGCGCCAGCTCCAAGAGGACCCGCAGGCCCAGCAGCTCCGGGACCGGCAGCACCAGCACCCTCGTCAGTCGAAGAAGGTCCTGCTCCAGCTCCAGCAGCACCCCCAGACTCAGCAGCACGCCTCCAACGATGAGCGAACCACTCGCGCAGCTCCTGTGGAGAGAGAGGCTCCCGGGGAGGCTGAGCAGCAGGAGAAACCCCAGGCGCAGCACCCCCAGGCTCAGCAGCTCCAGACACAGCACCCCCAGGCGCAGCAGCTCCCAACTCAGCACCCCCAGGCTCAGTAGCTCCCGACTCAGCACCCCCAGACCCAGCACCTCCAGTGACAGCACCCCCCGGCGCAGCACTCCTAGGCTCCGCACCCTCCGCACTAGCACCCCCAGGCTCAGGACCCCCAGCAGCAGCTCCTCCAGTCTCAGCACCCCCGCGGACAGCACCCCCAGAGTCAGCACCCCCAGGCTCAGCACCCGCAGCAGCACCAGAGTCACCAGTAACCTCGACCGGGTCAACGGCGTCTACCTGGGACACACCTGAGGGAGCAGGAACCTGAGGGGGAAGGGGGTCTACCGGGGGGGGAACCGGCACAAGGAAGTCCGGGGGAGGGGGGAGGGAAGGGGTGCGGTAGGGGAAGAGACGGTAGAAGGGGACCGACTCGTCGAACGTGACGTCCTGAGAGGACAGAACACGACGAGAGGAGGGGTGGTAGAACTGCCACCCTGGGGCGTCAGTGGGGAAGCCAAGGAAGACACAGGGAGCAGCACGAGGGGACAGCTTGTCCGCAAACAAGTCGCGGACAAACGCCCGAGATCCCCAGACACGAAACACAGACGCATCGCCAACCTTCCCCGTCCACAGCAAGGCTGGGGACATCGCAGGCCTAGAGACCCGCGGGTGAAGGTTGAGCTGATGCGCCGCGTACCTCACCGCAAACGGCCACAGAAAATGGGGGGCAGCCGCATGCATCATGGACGTACGAGCAACATCCATGATCATGCCAATGCGGCGCTCAGCAATCCCATTTTGCTGTGGTGAGTCCGGAAGCGTGAAGGTCTGGCGGATCCCCCGTGCACGACAGTAGTCTCGCAGAAGGCGAGAGGAGAACTCTCCGCCTCTGTCCGAGTGCAGACGCAGAACAGGAAAGTCCGAGCCGAAGCTCTTCCTGAGCTGGAGACGAGCCTCGCGGATCCAGTCGATCAGCACCTCAGTGACAGCACCCTTGCTGCGCAAGGGGAGGACTGTGGTGTAACGCGAGTAGTCGTCAACCACCAACAGGAAGTAGCGCTCGTAACCCTGCCCACGGACGGGGGCCGGGCCCCACACATCCATGTGAAGCGTCTGCAGCGGAGCCTCTGTCGGGGGGAAGTGGGAGGAGTGAGGAGTAGCCCGGAGGCGACCCTCGACACAGGGGACACTGGAAGGCCCTGGCCCGGGGGGGGGAGGAGGGAGAGACCGGGGAAGACTAGAGACAAGGACACGGGAAGCCATGCTCCGAAGACGAGCCAAGGAGGGGTGGCCTAGACGGTGGTGCCACAGGAGAGTCTCGTGAGACAGGAGGCGACAGGAACAGGGGGCAGACTCAGGACCTGACCGGGACGCAGCAGCAAACACCTGACCTGACGGAGCTACCTGACCAGACACAGGGACAGGAGGAGACGAAGTGGTCAGGGTGTAGAGACTCGACCCCGGCCGACGCGAAAAGGTGGCCAGGTGTCGGCCTGTGTCTGCGTCCGTGCAGTGGGTCACCCGCCGCCTCGCAGGAGTGAACTGGTGAACCCCCGCATCCTGTAGGTCCGCACCACTCACCAAGTTCGTAGAGAACGAGGGAAGGTACAGACCAGACAGGGTGCCTGAAGGGGCAGCCGGACACGGGAGGACAGTGGAGAAGTGAGACAGGACAGGACCCCCAGAGGGGTCAGCAAGGGAGACCGCAACCGGTCGGCCAAGTGGCGTGAGGGTAGTGCGGTCTCGAAAGAAAGAGCGAGAAGCCCCAGAGTCAAGTGTGAAAGTGAGGGAGGACGAGGGCGACGCGGTACCTGAGAGCGCAGTCTCACCAGCACCTGAGAGCGCAGTCTCACTAGTACCTGAGAGCGCAGACGCACTGGCACCTAGAGCAGCAGCCTCACAAGTACCTAGTGCAGCAGTACCAATGCCCGGGTCGGGCTGGAAACACCGGTAACCCTCATACTCCTCACTATAAGTCACAGCATACATAGCAGAGAGGATAGCATCAAAATCAAGATCAAAGATCGCTACACCAGCCCTAAGGAGCTCATCCCAGCGAGGGATCTCACTAGCCCCGGGGAACTGCCGACGCCAAGCGTCCGTCAGGCGGCCAAAGCAGCGCTGGGTGGAGTGGGCACCCCCACACTGCTCACCCGCGCGGTCGCCGGAACGAAGAACGTAGGCGCAGGGACCAGTACCCCCACCCCTCTGACGCGCAGTGTACCACTCACGAAGCTGCTGAGGCGGAGGGATGTCCCGCGAACGCTGCTGCTGCTGCCGCTGCGAGCGCTGGCCACCACCACCGCCGCTCCGCTGCTGGGTACCACCACGACCAGCTCCACCTCCTCCACCACCACCGCCTCCTCCGCCGCCGCCTCCACCGCCTCCCCCTCCACCGCCTCCACCTCCACCGCCTCCACTCCCGCTGCTGCCTCCACCACCACCGGTGCCATTACCACCACCGTCTCCGCCGCTGCTGCCACCACCACCACCACCACTACCACTACTCCCGCCGCCACCCCCACTCCCTCCGCCGCCTCCGCCGCCACCGCCACCGCCCCCTCCAGCTCCGCCCGCGCCCTTGCCCCCCTTGCCCTTGCCAGAGCGACGTCTTCCACTAGGGGCAGACGCCGCACCGACCGACTCAAGACCAAGCAGGTCGGCCGCAGCAGCAGAGGCAACAGAGGGCAGCAAGGGGGAAGGAGAGCACCCCTCAAAGATGGGGGTGCGAGGGTCACCACGAGAGGCACCGACAGCGACTATGCTCTTCTCCGCTGCGAGGAGGGCCTTCTCGAGGAGGTCGACGGTGAGAGTGGTGGGACAGACTGCGAGAAAGTGGTCCCTGACTACGCGGAGGGAGTCAGGGAGGCGTGCGACTACGTAGTAGAGAGTGATGTACATGGGAGGGGGGTTCTTAGCGCAGAACTCAGCAGGAAGGGCGGCGCGGTAGCGAGCGTCACTAGTGCGGAGGTGCGTAATGAGGTCAGCGACAGTGGGAAAGGCAGAGAGGTCAGGAAAGAGGTAGGGAAGCATGAGACGGCTCAGTGCAGCAGTGGCAGGAGAGGAGTAGCGTGCAACTACAGCGTCGTACAAGGTCTGAGCACTCTTGTACTGACTAAAATGCGCACGCTCAGAGGTAGGGAGGTGGCGACGCACAGCAAGACGTGCAGCAGCATCGCGGGTGGCCCACTGAGAGCGGACAGTGGGATCAGCATCGGCAGCAGGAGCAGGAGAGGCGCCAGAGGTGAGGTCAAAGAGAGAAAGGCTGTCAGCTCTGTCGCACTGTAAGAAAAGCTGCAGGTCATCTAGCCAGACCTCAAAATCAATGGCGCGACCCTCGGCGTCAAAGGCTAGGACACTAGGGGTGGCCATGATGACGACAGCGAAGCAGTGCAAGCAGTAGGGAAAGAGGGCGCAGTGACAGAGGGACTGTGCTCACCAGGCAGGGCAGGCCGTGCAGCTCGACAGAAAAGCGGAGCGGCGACCGGGCGGCTCGGGTGTACAGCTGCTCAGCTCCCGGGCGGCTCGGCGGCAGGGCGGCTCGGGTGCAGGGCGGCTCGGCTCCCGGGCGGCTCGGCGACGGACGGCTCGGGTGCAGGGCGACTCGGCTCCCGGGCGGCTCGGCGACTGGGCGGCTCGGCTGCCCGGCCGCCCGACTGCTGCAGGTGAGGCGGCGGGGTCGCGTGAGAGAACCGGGGCGGGGGCCGCGAAGGGGGCCGGCGGTAGGGCCGCGTAGGAGCCGGCGGCAGGGCCGGTGGTAGGGCCGGCTTAGGAGCCGGGGCAGGGCCGCGTTGGAGCCGGCGGCAGGGCCGCGCAGGGGTCGGCGCAGGGCCGAGCAGAGGCCGGCTGCAGGGCCGCGTAAGGAGCCGGCGGACAGGGCCGTGAAGGAGCCGGGACGGGGCCGCGTGAGAGCCGGCGCGGGGCCGAGTAGGAGCCGGCGGCGGGGCCGCGTAGGAGCCGAGACAGGGCCGCGTAGGAGGCCGGCGCGGGGCCGCGTAAGGGGCCGGCGCGGGGCCGCGTAAGGGGCCGGCGGCGGGGCTGTTAAGGGGCCGGCGGCCGGGCCGCGTAAGGGGCCAGCGGACAGGGCCGCGTAGGAGCCGGGGCGGGGCCGCTTTGGAGCCGGTGGCGGGGCCGAGTAGGAGCCGGGGACGGGGCCGCGTAGGGGCCGGCGCGGGGCCGCTTAGGAGCCGGCGCGGGGCCGCGTAAGGGCCGCGTAAGGGGCCGGCGCGGGGCCGCGTAAGGAGCAGGCGGCGGGGCCGCGTAAGGGTCAGGGCGGGTCCGCGACAGAGTGGGCGGCGAGGCCGCAGGGGAGAGGGCGACTCGAGGGGTCGCTAAAAAAACCGCGCCTCGGGGCGCGCTTCGGTGGGCCCAAAAAAAAATCGGTCCTGGAGGGACCTAGCTCTATACCATGTGAAACAATGAGAAGAGGAATGAAATGACTAAGTCAGAAATTGGTACAAATAACAAACCCTAGGAATCTGTACCCCATATGTGCTACCCCACTACAGCCTACAAACATGTATCAGCTATAATATTCTGACACTAAGTTCCCATACTGACCGACCTGGCCAATGCACCATTTTCCATATACATATGCATTAGATTCCTTTCGAACCTTATTAGCTCACCAGATTTATATATTTTCCACCTTCTGATCGAGTGAGACCGCTAGATTCCCTCTACTTTTTGAGAAATGAGCGTCTCCGTTCTCCTTGGCCCTAGTTGCACTATAAGTGCGAAATGCCGGCCAGACTGGCCGATGCACAATTTTCTCTACACATATGCGTTAGTTACTTTTCAAACCCTTACGTTCACTAGATGAATATATTTCCTACCTTCTATTTGAGTGAGACCACTTGATTCCGTGTACTATGCGAGATCTGAGCGCTTCCGTTCTCCCTGGCATTTGCATTTTAAGTTCCGATACTGACCGACCTGACCAATGCACCATTTTATCTATACCTGTGCGTTGAATACATTTCAAACCTATTTAGCTGACTAGATTTATATATTTCCCACCTTCTGATCGAGTGAGACCGTTAAATTCCCTCTACTTTTTGAGAAACGAGCGTTTCCGTTCTCCCTGGCCCCACCTGCACTACGAGTGCGTAATGCCGGACAGACTGGCCGATGCACCATTTTCTCTACACATGTGCGTTAGTTACCTTTCAAACCCTTACGTTCACTATATGAATATATTTCCTACCTTATATTTGAGTGAGACCACTAGATTTCGTGTATTATGCAAGATCTGAGCGGTTCCGTTCTCTCAGGCATTTGCACTCTAAGTTCCCATACTGACCGACCTGGCCAATGCACCACTTTCCATATACATATGCATTAGATTCCTTCCGAACCTTATTAGCTCACTAGATTTATATATTTCCCACCTTCTGATCGAGTGAGACTGCTAGATTCCCTTTACTTTTTGAGAAATGAGCGTTTCTGTTCTCATTGGCCCTACTTGCACTATATGTGCGAAATTCCGGCCAGACTGGCCGATGCACCATTTTCTCTACACATGTGCGTTAGTTACCTTTCAAACCCTTACGTTCACTAGATGAATTTATTTCCTACTTTCTATTTGAGTGAGACCACTTGATTCCGTGTACTATGCCAAATCTGAGCGCTTCCGTTCTCCCTGGCATTTGCACTCTAAGTTCCCATACTGACCGACCTCGCCAATGCACCATTTTCCATATACATATGCATTAGATTCCAATCGAACCTTATTAGCTCACTAGATTTATATATTTCCAACGTTCTAATCGAGTGAGACCGCTAGATTCCCTTTACTTTTTGAGAAATGAGCGTTTCCGTTCTCCTTGGCCCTACTTGCACTATAAGTGCGAAATGCCGGCCAGACTGGCAGATGCACCATTTTCTCTACACATGTGCATTATTTACCTTCCAAACCCTTACGTTCACTAGATGAATTTATTTCCTACCTTCTATTTGAGTGAGACCACTATATTCCGTATACTATGCGAGATCTGAGCGCTTCCGTTCTCCCTGGCATTTGCACTCTAAGTTCCCATACTGACCGACCTGGCCAATGCACCATTTTCTATATACATATGTGTCAGAATCCCAACCACTAGACCATTGGGATAAAAGGGCTTGTTTCAGTAGCGGGTGAGTGCGCCCATAACCCCCCAGGCAAACGTGCCTGTAACCCTTCCCTAGGATCGATCGGGGATCACCAGTGGACCTCAGACACCCCCTCGCACTGGGATGCCCGAATTGCATACACCGAGATTCCAACCCGAGACCTTCGCTCTGATACCATGTCAGAATCCCAACCACTAGACCATTGGGATAAAAGGGCTTGTTTCAGTAGCGGGTGAGTGCGCCCATAACCCCCCAGGCAAACGTGCTTGTAACCCTTCCCTAGGATCGATCGGGGATCACCAGTGGACCTCTGACAATATGCATTAGATTCCTTTCGAACCTTATTAGCTCACTAGATTTATATATTTCCCACCTTCTGATCGAGTGAGACCGCTAGATTCCCTTTACTTTTTGAGAAATGAGCGTTTCCGTTCTCCTTGGCCCTACTTGCACTATAAGTGCGAAATGCCGGCCAGACTGGCCGATGCACAATTTTCTCTACACATGTGCGTTAGTTACCTTTCAAACCCTTACGTTCACTAGATGAATATATTTCCTACTTTCTATTTGAGTGAGACCACTTGATTCCGTATGCTATGCGAGATCTGAGCGCTTCCGTTCTCCCTGGCATTTGCATTTTAAGTTCCGATACTGACCGACCTGGCCAATGCACCATTTTATCTATACATGTGCGTTGAATACATTTCAAACCTTTTTAGCTGACTAGATTTATATATTTCCCACCTTCTGATCGAGTGAGACCGTTAGATTCCCTCTACTTTTTGAGAAACGAGCGTTTCCGTTCTCCCTGGCCCCACTTGCACTACGAGTGCAGAATGCCGGCCAGACTGGCCGATGCACCATTTTCTCTACACATGTGCGTTAGTTACCTTTCAAACCCTTACGTTGACTAGATGAATATATTTCCTACCTTATATTTGAGTGAGACCACTAGATTCTGTGTATTATGCGAGATCTGAGCGGTTCCGTTTTCCCAGGCATTTGCACTCTAAGTTCCCATACTGACCGACCTGGCCAATGCACCACTTTCCATATACATATGCATTAGATTCCTTTCGAACCTTATTAGCTCACTAGATTTATATATTTCCCACCTTCTGATCGAGTGAGACGGCTAGATTCCCTTTACTTTTTGAGGAATGAGCGTTTCCGTTCTCCTTGGCCCTAGTTGCACTATAAGTGCGAAATGCCGGCCAGACTGGCCGATGCACCATTTTCTCTACACATGTGCGTTAGTTACCTTTCAAACCCTTACGTTCACTAGATGAATTTATTTCCTACATTCTATTTGAGTGAGACCACTAGATTCCATGTGCTATGCGAGATCTGAGCGCTTCCGTACTCCCTGGCATTTACACTCTAAGTTCCCATACTGACCGACCTGGCCAATGCACCTTTTTCCATATACGTATGCATTAGATTCCTTTTGAACCTTATTAGCTCACTATAATTATATATTTCCCACCTTCTGATCGAGTGAGACCGTTAGATGCCCTCTACTTTTTGAGAAACGAGCGTTTCCGTTCTCCCTGGCCCCACCAACACTATGAGTGCGAAATGCCGGCCAGATTGGCCAATCACCATTTTCTCTACACATGTGCGTTAGTTACCTTTCAAACCCTTATGTTCACTAGATGAATATATTTCCTACCTTATATTTGAGTGAGACCACTAGATTCCGTGTATTATGCGAGATCTGAGCGGTTCCGTTCTCCCAGGCATTTGCACTCTAAGTTCCCATACTGACCGACCTGGCCAATGCACCATTTTCCATATACATATGCATTAGATTCCTTCCGAACCTTATTAGCTCACTAGATTTATATATTTCCCACCTTCTGATCGAGTGACACGGCTAGATTCCCTTTACTTTTTGAGGAATGAGCGTTTCCGTTCTCCTTGGCCCTAGTTGCACTATAAGTGCGAAATGCCGGCCAGACTGGCCGATGCACCATTTTCTCTACACATATGCGTTAGTTACCTTTCAAACCCTTACGTTCACTAGATGAATTTATTTCCTACCTTCTATTTGAGTGAGACCACTAGATTCCGTGTACTATGCGAGATCTGAGCGCTTCCGTTCTCCCTGGCATTTGCACTCTAAGTTCCCATACTGACCGACCTGGCCAATGCTCCATTTTCCACATACATATGCATTAGATTCCTTTCGAACCTTATTAGCTCACTAGATTTATATATTTCCCACCTTCTGATCAAGTGAGACCGCTAGATTCCCTTTA